TATCGTGTATCTTCTATCGGAGTGAGGTATCTGGAGCTTCTTGTTGCTTTAGCTGTTTTTTCAACTCCTCAGCACTGCCAAATGGCGGTTGACATTGCCTGCCTGCCTGCCAGGCCCGCCCTGGGCTCTTAAATAAATAAATATTTTAAACAAATGTTCGCTTTGTGCTGTCTTGGCATATGCGAACCGAAGCGAAGTAAAGCGCTATCGTTGCTATCGTTTTCTGTTGCTGTTTCTGTTTTTGTTTCTGTTGCTGGTGCATTTGTGGCTACAACAAATGAGCTTGTCAAGTTAAATGGCACGCACCAAATGCTGTCAGCAAGGTTGCACACACACAAACACACACACACACATACACACGCACATGTGTTGGCTTGGCATTGCCGCCATTTTGTCTGGCTGCACTAAGTAAATTGTTGCAATTGCTGACTGTAAATAAGCAAGCACAATGTGGCACAAAACGGCGTATTAGTAATCTAGCTTATATCTGACTCTCTCTCTGTGTGCGGCAGTGTGCTGCAGTATGGGGCAAGGCAGCTCAGCTCAGCCCCAAGGCACGCTGGATCATGGGGGGGGGGGGAGGTGGGTGGTTGAGTATATGGGACTCTCTCATATCAATTGATGTCTGCTTCCATTTCACAAATATTTATGCTCCGCTCCACTTTGGGTGGGAGGCGTACAGTCTGGGAGGGTGAAAAGCTTACTTTTCTGCAGTTTCCAATAAAATAAATTACTTTCTGGATGACAAAAAGTTTTAAGACTTCACAAGACTCCCCCGAATGCCAAGGAGACACCTCTTTGGAAATTGAAAAAATTTCTTCTCCGAATAGTGTCTCTTATTTGGAATTGTTTTTTTATCTAAAAACCCTAGGACTAGACCGATTTGATGATGCTGCACAGGCTCATTTAATGAATAGAAGTATCTTCTATGCGTATGGACAGGGGAAAACCGATTCGAATCAGACAGAACGCTGATTATTCAAGAACTGATCCAGCAGATTACAGCCATAGCCTCCATGGTGTTTCAATTCCCCCCCCCCCCTCTAGTTTCTCCTATAAATCTCCACTCTCCAATTATCGCATAGCCCCCGCCGCCTAGTCTAGCACATCCAGCAGATACAAGATACACCAGATACCAAATGTATGTGGGTTTCTTTTGACTCTATTTTTAATATCTTATCTGAGGAATTTTTATTGGCTTTGCATTGTTCTGTAAATATTAATTAGTTTCTTTGATTGTGTGCAAGAACAACAAAAGGGAGATCGTTCACAAGTATCTGTGTGTGTGTTGCGTGTCATGGCGAAATTATCACGGAATACTGGGGGGCACACTGCTAGAGTACGAGTATGTGACGCAGAACTTCCTTCCCTCTGTGTGGCGGCTGGTGAAATTGCAATCGACGGACTCTGCTGTTGGCGCTGCTGCCTCTAACCTGCGATGACGCATGCCCCTTCTGTGTATCTGTGTGTCTGTGTGGGCATAGACATATGGCGACAAAGAAGCTGACGTCATGGCCATGTAGTGTGGAGAGGGGTGTTCACACGCAGGAACTACCCCCGAAATGCGTGTCAAGACTTTGGACCCGCCAAAGTGAGCACTTGGCCTACTTGCCTATCCCTCCCCCTTCTCTTTCCCCACAACCATGCACAGCTGCAACATCCACAGCAGGGGCAGTGGCAGTCCCAGCAGCAGCTACACACAGCAGCATCCCACGCAGGCAATTAAGAGCCCGACTTGGCTATTGGGTTACACTTAAACTTCACTTCCATTCCGTTTGGCATTTCGTTTGCAGTCAGCATTTAAAATTATTTATTAGAAGCAACAGTCGGACAGGCCGTGTCAAAGCGCGGGAGGAGTGGGAGAGGTGGAGCGGGAGGGGGGAAGAGACAGGGCCGGCTGTGGACCAGGCCAAAACGGAGAGCGTATCAAATGATTTTTTTACTGTTCATTTTTTGTTTTCTTCTGTTTTTCTGTTTTGGGTTTTGCCAAAACGAAACGAGCCAAGCCGGCCCCAGTCCCCGGACTCCGGTTCGGGCCAGGTCCAGAGCAGGGAACACGTTAAGAGGGTGGGGGCAGTGAAGACTGCTCTATCGTCTGGCTCTTGGCGACAGCAATTTACCTTCGCGTACGCGTAGAACAGCAGCAGCCATCCCTGAAGAGCCAGAGGAGGAAAAAGTGCCTCCAGGCGAACAGGCTTGAGACAGCGGAGAGACGGGAAGTGAAGAGGGGAGCGGGGGAACGGGAGGAGCGGTGAGGAGCAGATCTAGTCTCTCTCTCTATAAATAAGCCAAAAATTCAGAGCAGAGCAGAGCCCAAACAAGCTGAACCATAAATCATAAGCAGACGCACGAGTGTGGAGTTATTATGCGATCATATTTTAATTGCCGGATTATTATTATGCAGGCAGTGCCACAAGAGTCCCCCCTTCCCCACCTCTATTCCATGCATGCCACAGCAACAAGCACAACAACAACAACAGCAGCAGCATAATCAAGCAACTGTCCGGCAAACAAACAAAACACCTGCAGAGTCTCCAGTCACCAGTCCCCAGACCCCAGATCCCATTCGACATCGCATGGCTGTGGTGCGGAGTGGAGCAGTCCTGAAGACCCGCTGAAGATTGTGGATCGCAGATCGCAGACCGCCTGGCTCTACCTTGGACAGGTGCGTGAACGGACGCAAAGAAAGAGAGAGAGAGCTCTATTATGAAGGAAGGCAACCCAACCCGAATATGGAATGCTCTGATTGTGGGATCCCATATCCACCCGAATCGAATGTTCTATCCATCTCCTTTTGGGGGAGTGTCCTGGCTAATCCTTAATGCTGCACAAACAATATCATGCACTGCAATTGCTGCAATTACCTTTTGTCAAGGGTATCCCCACTTGGCACATACTACTCTATACATTGGAGTATGAGTACTCCGGTATGAGTACGAGTACGAGTACGAGTATAGTTTTTTTTTTTTGAAAACCAAATTCACATGCAGTTTGTGGTTGTGGCTGCAGTCTTTGCAGTTGCTGTTGTAGTAGTTGCCGTTGCTGTTGCCGTTGCAGATGGTGGGCAGAAGGGGCAAACGAGTTGGCCCCGCCACTCCACTCTCCTGAGAGTGTGTGTGAGTGTGTGCTGTGTACTGTGTTGGCCGTTTGTCAGTTGACTAAAACTGGTATGGTTGCATTTTTATTATACAGCGAACAGAAACACAACAGCAACAGCAGCAACAGCAACAACAGCAAAAAGGCGACACCTAGGAGTACCAGAGAGTCTGTTCTGTTCTGCTCTGTCCGATTGTCTATGCCGAGGGAGTGGCGGGAGAATGGAGGGTACAGGGTGCATGGTGCAGGGTGCAGGCTGGAGAGTGCCACTGCAACTGTGTAATGGCACTGGCACTGGCACTGGATAGGTACCTGGGACTGTCATCTAGGCCTAGTGTCGCCTCTAGTCGGTCGCTCACTGCTGGCTCAGATATCTGCTCTACGGACATTTCATGGACGCATCCACATCCACCGCAATGTGTACATTCATATTAACCCATGTATCTGCTGCGAACCCCCCTCCTCTTGCTAATCCTCTCCGCACCACAGTCCTCCTGCAATACGCAGTTATTACCAACATTTCTTACGTTTTATTGCTTCTTCTGTTTGCTTTTCGGTTTGTGTTTTGTTGTGTTGTGTCTTGGCATTGGCATTACCCCTCGTCGTAATTTGTATTTGTGTCCTGCCATTCAGCTATTCCTCTGCCACTCAGCAGCAGCCTCAGTCTTCGGTCTTCGGTTTTCAGAGTCTTCCGAGTCTTCGGCCGTCAGTCTTCAGTCCCTTCCCTCCTAATGAGCCAACTCATTGTATGCCCTGCTCTCTCTCTCTCTGTGTTCGAGGATAATACTCGTGCTTTTTTATGGTTATGTCAATGTAATACAGGAAATTGCCGGCGATTAGGTTAGTGACAATACCAGTTGCAATTGCAATTGTCCGTGGCAGTCGCAGTTGCAGCTGCTGCAGCTATTAATCAGCCAGAGGGGGGGACTTGACACATCGTTACTAATTGGATAAACAATGCGTCTCACGAGTGATTCATGCCACATTCAAAGAGCGGTACTGCACTAGAGCCTCCTTTTCTAATTCCTCTTAATCTCTCAATAAGAGAATTTACCTAAATTGGAGGTAACTCTTTTCAGCGGAGTAAATGATTAATCACAAGATTTTCACTGGAAAATCCTCTCCTCTCCTCTCCTGATTCATTCCGAGTAAACTTTCGAGCAGCTTCGAAGAGTAAATTACGACGGGGCAAAATTCTATGCAAATGTTTTTTATTAATTACTTTCAAAGAACACACACAGACACAACATACATACATACGTACATATGTGCACATATGTATATGTTCGAGTGTACATACATATACGGATACGGATCGGACATAATTTGGCACATTTTTGTAATTTGAGCTGTTTCTGATTCCGTTTTGCAAGACACTCCCGCGATGATTTGTCGACTATAAATTCCATACACATAGGTACATATTTACATAAGTGCATATGTATGTACGAGTAGTAAATATGTACATCAGCATGTAGAGGAGGTGCATGTCCAAGTGGGTGTCTAGTCTTTGTGACTTCGAGAGTGGTGTGGCAGAGGGGCACCGACCAGGAGAGCCGGACAGCACTGCCGGAGAGCTGCAGAGCGGTCCGAATGTGATAATAGAATTCAAACAATTCAACAATTTTCGCAAAATGTTGAAACAACAAAAGGCAGATAGCACGGACACACACACATACACATACACACACACACACACACACACACAGATACGGTGGGGATGGGGACGGAGACACGAAGTGAAATGAAATGTTTATATGTTTCTCATTATAATAAAACAAAATCGCACGCTCTCAGTCAGCGATTCCCATCTCCATTGCTAAGAGAGCAGCCAGAAGGGAATGGGGTGGCGGTGGGGGTAAAGATTAATTGCAAAAAGAGAAAAGTAAAGACGCAAAGTTTACCCGTAATTACACTTCCAGATCGGGGGCGCTTCCAGACCCAGACGGGGGGGCGGTGGCGGCTAGGGCCAGGAATCGGCGGCAGTGCTCGTAACAACAACAGAATCGGAAATTAATTATGCTTGACATGTTGTTGCTGCCTTCGCCTCTCGCCTGTGGATCACTTCTGGGTTGCGGTGAGTGTTGGGGTTTGAAGTGCGGCTGTGGGTTGTTGGGTGGCGGGGGGAGGCAGGGCAGGTGTTGTAGTCCAGCGCAATTGTTGCTTCTGCTGCTGCTGCTGAGATTGTTGTAATTGCTGGTGTACTCGTAGTTGTAGTTTTAGTTGTTGCTTTTGTTGGTGTCGATATGAATCGCATTTTCAATTGGCTTCTGTTTCAGTGCCTCTTCTCTTTGGCACAAGAGAGTGTGGCATGAGAGGGGGACATGGAAACGGACACGGGCACGCACTGGGCACTCCACTCCGCTCAGAGCTTCACCATGAGAAGAATTCTCTTAAGCAAACGCATAATTTATTGGAGACGGCGCGCGCCTTTCATTTCAATTTCGATTTCCACGCGGAATATTTCGTACCTTTTTTCACTCACTTTTTAACCTCCTCCCCTTCTCATAGAGTACCTCCTCAGCCTCCCTGCAGGCGGCTCCACAGATTACGCATACGACACGTTGTCTCTGCTGCTGCCTCTGTCTGGGCCCCTGCCGCTTGTCAAAGGTTCAATTTGTGTGCGACGAGTGCAATTTGCATTCGGAATTAAGATTGAGATTGAGAATTGAGAATTGGGAATTGTGAATCGCGGGGAGTGTATAGTACAGTAGAATGAAATTGCGCGCCAATTTGCTTTTGTCGCCGCGCACAATGGAAATGCCTCGATTTCTCTCTTCTTTGTGGAACTTTGTGGCGCTCTTCTCTCAAATCGGGAAAATTGGGGAAAATCAGCAACAAACAACGCAGAAATCACAGCTGAAACACACACAGCTTCGTTGATAACGAATTTCGCCGTCGCCCTTTTATTGGCAAATTTGATTGTTGGATTTAGGTTTTTTTTTGGCGGAAATCTGATTGTGGGAATTACGTTTTGTGGTGAAACGTACTATATGGCTATGGTACGGGTGGATCGGCGAAGATCGATAGATAATCAGCGGAGCGATCAGCAGTTGACACTCGGACGCGCGCGCAATTTTCAGCCGTACAAAGGTTGTGCAGTGTTTTTCCGGGCCAAACCAGCGACGACGCGACGACAGTTTCTGGCGCTTCGCTTCGGTTTTCTTCGATTTCGCTCAGGCACTTTTCAGGTTTGGTTCCGTTCCGTTCGCCGGTTCTCGTCGAACTGAACGAACTGGCCGATGCGGACCGAGCCTGAGCTGCCGAACGTGCTGCCTGCTCGTGCATCGTGTCTGCTCGTGTCTGTTTCGCCGAAGTTAAAGCAGCGCTGTTGCAGCGCGGCAGCAGCGGATGTTGGCTTCCTTAGTTTTTGGGGGCTCGAACTTGGTCCATTCGACCCCGGGCCCGGGCTAATACTAGATACAGCCTCTTCTCTTTGCTGTGCTCTGCAGTAATTAACGGCGAATGTATGGTATGGTATGCCCGCAGATAGATTGATAGAACTCTCGTATGTAATTGCCAAACATCAAAGTCGGTGTCGGTGTCGGTGTCGGTGTCGGCATCGGTGTCGCATTCGCAGCACAATGATTGGAGAGTGAATTGAATTTCAGTCCGCAATCGCACTCGCATTCCATTCCATTGCTCGGGGAAATGAACACCTTGTCGGTGGCAAAGTGTTAACAAGTGGAACATAACCTGCGCCCCCCAGCACCATGGCCTGGACTCAATTCAAATTCCCAGAAATGTTGCCAATTATTGTACCCCCCGTAGAATTTGTCAGCTGGCATTCCGTGATGTCTCTTCTTCTTTCGCTCGCGCTTCTTATACCCGATACTCAAAATGAGTATTGGGGTATATTAGATTTGTGGTAAAAGTTTCCGACCCCATAAAGTATATATATTCTTGATCAGCATCAATAGCCGAGTCGATTGAGCCCTGTCTGTCTGTCCGTATGTCCGTCTGTCCGTCCGACGGTCTGTCCGTCTGTCCGTCCCTATCAGCGCCTAGTGCTCAAAGACTATAAGAGCTAAAGCAACGACGTTTTATATGCGGACTTCTGTGATATGTCACTGATACAAGTTTATTTCAAAAGTTTGCCCCCACAAAGGGCGAAAATCTGTGGCATCCATAATATTGCAAATTCGAGAAAACTAAAAACGCAGAATCATAGATAATGATCATATCTATCAGATTGCTGAATCTGGATCAGATCAGATCATTTTTATAGCCAAAAGGAACAAATCAATTTTCAGTGGCTACGCAGCGCGCGACGTCACGCTCAGACTGATTTTTTCCGGCGTCTGCCGGAGGAGAGCCATACTGACTAAGTATCGGGTATAAATGTAGAGTTACGGTGTCCGCAGCAACTCACAACGTTCCGCCTCGTTTTGTCATGGGAATGGAATCAGGCAGACAGGCAGGGGGTCATTCTGGGTCTTTCCCCACTCTCTATAAAACTCTGTGATTGCTATGAGCAGAACTTTGGATGTACATTAGGTCCCCCCATACGTAGTGTCGATTAGATTCAGGGCACTCTGGTGCTGGTGCACCGCCATTAATGAAATGAAGTTCAAGAATTGGCACAGTCTACGACTGTACGAATACGTACTGATAAGAAGATCAGCTTTGAATGGAATATGGTACGAGGCACGAGGTATCGTGGTATCGCACTTAATGACTTATAGGAGGTGGTACTTCACCGCTTACGAGTTGCGACTTACGAATATACAGTTCCCACAATTAGCAAGTACATTTCGCATATCATATTAAATGCACTTAGAGGTGCACTCTGCTCTGTGGCATTTGCTTGCGTCAGTTGCAAGCTCTTGGCTCTTAAGAGATACAGATACAAATACGAAGCGACGGGCTTCGGGGGCTTCGGGCGATGGGATAATTCACACTTAACCGGCGGCCAAATCAAATAGCCAGCCATTTGACATTTATGCCGTGGCTGCTCACAGATGTTGGAAAATCTACTGCTGCTGCTGCTGCCAGGTAGGAAAATGCCATGGCGCTGCAGCTGGGAGATGATTTATGCACTCATTGTATGTGTGTCTCGTACTCGTTGGAAAATTGCACTCATCACGAACGTTGGATACTCGGCCAAGCTTTTGGTTATGCTTTTGGCTGATGCTAAGACTCTACAGCTGGGTTTCCCAGGCCATACATTTTGTCACAAGAGGTTGCCTAGTCATTATTTATGAGGCAAGCCAGTCGGAGTGGAGATGAGAGGAAAGGAGAGGAGAGAAGGGGAGGGAAGAGCAGAGAACCACAACCGAAAGCGACGTCAACCATCGACGGAGTGGAGCTGCCAGGTTGGAACCGTGACGCAGTATGCGATTCACTTGAAAATTAAATAATTGCGTTTCATTAAACGCTATTTGCATTTGCATAGCGTTTGTTCGCGTCTCCGTACCCCCTTTTAACGTGCAAAGCAATTCGGCATAAACATCATTGGGTCTAGTGGTAGGTTCGTGGGTGGAGGCGACTCTGCCCGCCCCACAATTTTCCACGCCACTTGAGCGTAATTAAGCGTTGAGCTCCTAAGCGTTCAGCAAATAAGCGAAACCGCAGTCTCCAGGTATCTCCACAGATTTAATGCTTACGAGAATATGTATATATATATAGAACTGTTACCGCAGCACATCGATGTTATTTTTATATGGGCAAATATTTGCAATTAGCCATTATTTGCCTTCGGGCCGGCTCCACTCTTGACTCGATTTCGGTTTCAGCCGCGTCTATTAGCTTAGCAATTTGTGGATCTATTTTTGGGCCAGCAGTCGAGTCGGGTGTGGATAATCCCAGGCCAAATATCGAACCCCGATCCGATAGAACCGCGACCAGCCAGAGAACCAACGCCGAGGTCTGGTCCCTGGGCTCCTAGGGCTTTGGTCATTATCCAGAAGGCTATCACGCACGCGGCATTGGCAAATGGGGAATGGAGCGCACAAACAAGCTGCTCGAATTTCCCTAATGGCCAAAGTTCATTTGCCCCAAACAGAATGCCGCCTGCTGCAAAACAGTGGCAGATATTGATACCCGCAGCACTTGAGGATTGGAGGACTGGTGTTCGAGAGGAGGAGCTGGAACAACAACTGATGTCTGCTGTCGAAGTCAAAGTCAGACAAAGATCAAGTGCTGCTGCGTCCCCTCTTGCTGTTTACACAGGCGGCACGACTCTCACACTGTAATTATGTGGTGGATCCATAGACCAGCTCCATTGCCGTTGCCATTGCCATCCATAGCCACAGCCACAATCCCTCCAATACACATCAACAACTTATTGTCAACTTGGCTAATTGAAAGGCCAAGCCACATGTCCACATAACAATAAAGGGGGCGGTGTATGGTGGACGATGGGCGTGGTAGTGGCCGGGTCAGTGCATTGCCAATTTGACAGACCATTGTAGACGCTGTAGAGGTCGGGGAGGGAGGCAGAGAAATGGAGTATTATTTACCGTTGGCCCTGTCGACGCCTAACAAGGCATATGCGCCATTTGTTGGCCCAGAGCCGCGTGTAGTGGCGACTGGCCAGTGGCTCTAAAACTGTTGTCGTAGCGTAAAGTTTTAAGTGAACTGCGTTTGGGGGTATTTCCTTTTGGATTTCGGTTGCATTTGGAACACTCATTCGATACGAGATAAAACTCAACTTGAACTCAATTGAAAACATAATTAAAACGCATCGAATTACACGCTACCCCATCCGAGCGGGAGAACGGGACTGGAGATTGAGGATTGGAAGCGGATTTTTGGGGGCCATGCAATTAAATCGAACAAGTCGCCGGCTGATGCGTCGCCGCTGATTATTTCGGAAATGCCAATCAGATGAAAGGGCCAGCAGCAATAGCAGCGATCCGCAGTGTGTGCGCCTTGTCTGAGCATTTCGCCAGTGAGTCAACCCGGCGGCTGGGATGGCGTCGTGCTGCTGACCAATCTCTGTCACGCTGAAAATGTTCGACTGATCAAAGTACAAGTGTGGCCAATTATTTTGTCTGATAGCCAAGAAGTGTGTGTTCTTGGCTCGCTAAAGAGTGACATACGCAATTTCCCTGGGATTTCGCAGCACCCCTCTCCTGAAGATGCTGCTGCAGAGGGACGGATAGTTCAGACAATAAAAGCCTATGGGGCCAAGCAAAATGTTTAAAATCGTTATTTATATTGGCAAACAATTTGTCTATAGTATGTGGTGTGGCTACCACAATTACAAACGTCTAGAGTTGTATATGTATATGATGTATAGTATATCCATGTACAGAGGTAACTAAGACTAAATAATGCAACTTAGGCTACGAAAGGGAAACGGGGCGCTGGGTTGGGAGAGTGGCAACAATCTTTACACTTATCACTAGGGGGTATGTCGTATCGTAATGCACTAATCTGAGTTTAGCAGTCGTTGCTTAGTGTCATAAGCCGAATTTAAGATATAACAATGACTTAACGTGATCTACTGTACACCAAACGTTGTGCTTTCTTAACCATCACCAGTCGTCGCGCGGCAGTCGGTACGTCGTGTTGTCGCTCCGCACTATGTGGATGCCTGCCCCATAGTAGGGTATGACGTAGGCGGATCCGTCGGCGGGCCCCACCACCTGCAGGGCGATGAGGACGATGTCGATCAGCTGGCCCAGGAACATACCGCCCAGCGTACAGAACTTGAGCAGGCCGATACCCGGGTATCCCAGGTAGAAGCGGTCCACGCCGAACATCCCGAGGAACACTGACAGCAGTAGTGTGGTGTCCAAATGGTAGCCATTCCTGTGGAGCAAAAGAGGTATATGTCAGTAATGGGTTTGTGTGGGCAAGTCACACACTAACGTCCACTTGCAGGGCACCTCCCGCGTGAAGGTCGCGTTGCCCGTTTCCGTGCAGTTGATTTCGTCGGCGGCAATGCACCACACCCGTGCTCGGCTTTCCTTGGTACAGCCGCGCAGTTGCTGAGTCTTGGGATCGATGTGATTCTTGGCAGGATCGGGACACATGAACTGGCCCATCATCTGCAGTTCGTTGCAGTCGACATTGACTTGGTCTGATTTCGTCGTTAAGATGAGCAGGAGCAGCGTGACAGCGCACCAGTACATTTGTGGCTTTGGCTGAGTTTGGCGTGTGTCTTCGTTGGTCTGGTACTTGGTGTTCTTGGAGATGATATTGTGTTAGCAGTGTTGCGATTGCAGTTTGCGCTTTCACACGATTCGTTTTGTTTCGATGTTGATTTTTGTTGGGCAGGCAGGCAGGCACCAGTGTTGTTGTTTGGACTCATTGGCATTTGGATTAGAGTGTGACCGTGCACTCGTGAGCGAGGTGCGACGAATGGGCTGTTAAGTGCACATTCAGCTTACAGTGATTGGTGTGCACCAAATGTGCTGTTAGGCGCAAAGTAGTTATTTCGAAATCAAATTAATTTTTTTTTATTGTTTTATCCGCTAGAACTACTGCACAGTAACGTTAAATCATTGAAACAGGCCCGCCTGTTTATTGAAAACATACTTCTTGCAATTTAACAGCACCTGCAAGTCCCTGAATTTTTCTATCGTCGAGTCCGAAAGAGCTTCTCGGAACACAATGCAGACCTTGGAGGTCTGTCCGAAGGTTCGCTCTATGCAGCCCCTCTCTCCGGTGGACAGCTCGATCCACTTGCCCACGTACATGTCCCGGTTGGCCTCCTTCTTGAACAGGTTCTGGACAATCACCTCATTCGCGTTGACCACCCGCTGGATGCTTGCCACTTTCTGCTTCCGCTTGAAGACGCGCAGTTTGGGCAGGACGTCTTGGGCGTAGTTGGTGTCCTGCGTCTGCCAGGCGATGTGGCCCCAGAAGGCCAAACGGCAGCTGTTACTATGTGCGTCCATGTCCAGCTTGGAAGCAATCAAAGTAGTACCCAACGTGGTCAGGACGGGGCTTTCGAACTGCAGGAGGGCAAACACGACCCCGTAGGCCGACATCTCCGCTGGAAGCAGCTCCTCCACATACTCATACTCCCTGCCGAGATCGAATTCGGGCGATCGGACTTCCTTGTCTTGGAACAAGGTTATATTGGCCATTACGGTGTCATGGCCGACGGTAATGTGGAGCTTGCTTTTTGATCTGATGACGTGTTTGTAGTAGCGGATCGGTCTCAGTTGCAGGCATACGGCAAACACGAGCTTTAGGTAGCCCGGCTCTGCAATCACACCGCGCTCCAGCAGCTTGGCATTGAACTGGGTGACACAGAGGCCGATCCGATCACCCATGGAGGCGCTGCTCACGTTCTCTCGGAATATTTGCATGGCCTTCACCTTCCGCTTCTCGCCGAGAGCCGGCAGCTCCACTGTATCGTTGACCTGTATGCTCCCCTGGATCAGTGTGCCGGTGCAGACTGTGCCTTGGCCCTTGATCCCAAAGCAGTGATCAACGTACATCAAGAGTGGAGCGCTCACATTCCGCTGCGGTTGAAAATATGCATCACTCAGGCCGGCACGCAGCTCGGGAATGTAGATTCCCTCAAGGGCAGAAACTGCATACATGGGAACTTCGCTGCCGAAACTTGTGGCCGCCAGAGTCTTGACCAGACGCGCGCGTAGCTTCTCCAGCTTTATTTCCCTCTGAGCGGTCGCGAAGGCGTCGATTTTGTTGATGACCACAATTAGCTTCTTCTGCAGGAGCTCCCCTATGACTAGGCACTCGGCTGTCTGCGTCTGAATCCCCTTCTGGGCATCTACCACGAGCAGCATTAGATCGATGATCTGGGCACCTGCAGAGCGTCATTGATTTACACAAAGCTGCACATGGATGCATGGATGCCTCCTACCTCCTATGATGGTGCGTATGAGACTTGCATGGCCGGGGCAGTCGACAAAGGTGAACTGCAGCTTATCCGTTTGCGGCAGATTTGGCGGTGCATCGACGAGCAGGCCGCTGAAACCCAAGTCCAACGTAATGCCCCGATCTACGGACTGGGGATTCTTATCGAAGGCTGCTGTGCTCGAGATGGAGCTCAGAGCTCGGGCTAAAGTGGTCTTCCCGCTGTCCACGTGCCCGAGCAGACCAACATTGAAGTTTTTCGACATTTTTCACTGGCTAGCGAACATTATAAACAAAATGCTATAGGGACGGTAGAGTTTCGATAACAGAAAATAGAAAATATAAGGGTAAATGTTGCATATAAATATGTACATAGAAGTGATTCTATGTTAAGTTAACAGCTGATTTTCAAACCACAATAGAATTACAGCAAATTTGCTTATCTGGAACAATTATAGTTATACGAGGTCGCGCTAACAATGCTGATAGGCTTAAGTGGCAGTTGGTGTAGATTTGCAAGACATCTTTTGCACGTATGGGTGCCGTTGTCTCTACTTTTGTGCCCGCATACATGCACAATCCGAAGTCGAAAGAGCAAACGTCCAAAGTTTCTTGCTGGCTTGCTCTTAGTAAAAGTGAAATCGTTGAGCGGTGGGCCCCATTTAGCCGGAACAACAAGAAGCAGCAACAAGTGGCGATCGATTTTTTTCTCGTAGCGCATTCAAACAAAAGAAAATGGCACCATCTGTAATCCCAACTAGCGTCAATCCCGATATCCAGAAAGAGCGCGATGCGGCCAGCTTCAGCAGCGAAGAGTTCGCAGCCTGGTGGTCAGGTGGCGAGGAGAAGCTAAAGTTCAACCGGGACGTGCGTACGTAACAAAAACTTGCACCTACTTTTGCTAATCTTTCGGAGCCAACAAACTCAATTACCTTCGCGTGAAAATCATGCTGACTGTGCTAAATTGGTTTTGGCTTTGCAGGAGAATACCTGCAAAAGGATATGGATGTGGAGGAGGTGCAACAGTTGCACAACAAGTCGCACGAGGAGATCTACGAGGCTTCCAGCAAGTGGGCCATTCTGGCGGCCAAGAAGCTGCAGCGGCTGCAGAAGGAGCGTAATCCCGGGGGAAACGACTACTGGCCGTAAGTGGATCTGCTAGATGTATCTTAACCGATGATAATTAATTGGTTTTCTCAGTACTCTTTATGACAACCAGGTCATGTGGGGCCTGATTCCAGGTGGCAATCCCTTCGGCGTGATGTACGTGATGCTTGTAAAGGCACTGCAGGCTCAGTGCACCCCCGAACAGTACGAGGAGTTCGGCAAGCGGATAGAGAACTTTGAGGTCTGCGGAACGTATGCCCAGACAGAGCTGGGGCATGGCACGTACCTTCGCGGACTTGAGACCCGGGCTGATTTTGATCAGAATACGGACGAGTTTGTGCTGAACACTCCCAAGATATCCTCCTACAAGTGGTGGCCTGGAGGCTGTAAGTGCAATCAACTGTACGTTTTTCCAATAATATGTAACCAAGCTTTTCCCACAGTGGGGCATAGCTCCAACCACTGCATGTTGATGGCCCAGCTGTACATTGACAATAAGCCAAAGGGTCCACACATGTTCTATGTTCAGGTGCGCGACGAGGAGTCGCACGAGCCTCTTCCTGGCATCCACATCGGTGACATCGGCAAGAAGATGGGCTTCATTGGCGTTAACAACGGGTTCCTCGGCCTGAAGAACGTCCGCATTCCCCGTACCCGCATGCTGATGCGCCATGCGCAAGTCAATGCCGACGGCAGCTATGTCAGTAGTCCGGCGAATGTCCTCACCTACTTCGCCATGGTGCGCACGCGCTGTGTAATTGCCTGGAACAATGCCGTGATGCTGGCGATTGGCGCCACCATCGCCACTCGCTATTCGGCCGTGCGCCGACAGAGTCCCATCAATCCCAAGTGAGACCCATGCAGCTCTGCAGTTCAACGTTTGGATAATTTTGTCTTTTCTGGCAGGGAGCCAGAGCCACAGATTATGGACCACGTGACGCAGCAAATGAAGCTGTTTCCGGAGATAGCGACCAGCGTGGCCTACCGCCTGGCCAGCGCGCACCTCTGGAACCTGTACGACATTACCTTGGGCGACATATCCAACGGAAAGTATGAGCGTCTCCCGGAGCTGCACTCTCTGTCCTGTGCCTTAAAAGTGAACTGCTCTTCGGACTCGACCATCGGCGTTGAGAGGCTGCGCCTGGCCTGCGGAGGTCATGGCTATCTCAGCTCCTCCAATATGTGCCACGTCTACGTGAATGCCACGGCAGCTTGCACCTATGAAGGCGAGAACACAGTTCTGCTCCTGCAGATTGGCCGCTTTCTGATGAAGTCGTGGCGCGCGGCGCTGAGTGGAGCTCCCCTAGCACCCACCGTTATGTACTTGGCTGAGGTGCAAAAGAAGCCCGAATTTGGTTCGTGGACCGGCACCTGGGAGAACATGGTGCATGCTATGCAGTTTGCTGCCGCCAAGTCAGTAAACCCCTGTACCACTTGATTGCGCTCCTCTGAGAATCACTTAACTTACAGAAAGACCGCCTTGGCTTTCAAGAGTCTGTCCAATCGTCTGTCCAGAGGCGAAACTGAGGAGACAGCAGCCAACCACACGGGAATCGAGCTCGCTCAGGCAGCTGAGGTTAGTTTGCTGACATAGTTTGGACTTGGACCCACTCTGAACTTGATTCTTTAATCATATGATTCGCAGCTACATGGCCGCGCCTTTGTTTTCTCCTCATTTGCCGACGAGGTAACTGGTCCCAAGGCAAAGACTCGCTCAGCTGCGCTGAACCGAGTCCTGGAGAACCTATTGGAACTTTACGTGGTCAAGGAGTCGCTCAATCACATGGCCAACTTTCTTCGAGTAAGTTAGCCCACATAGAATGATCGCTAAAACACTGACTATTTTGATAAATTAACTTATGCAGTTCATCAATTTGACGGACACGGATCTGACCCGGCTGCAGGACCGCTTGGAAACGGTGCTGACCAAGCTCCGTCCCGATGCTGTGGCCATTGTGGATGGCTTCGACTTTAGCGATGTGCAACTTAACTCCACGCTGGGCTCCTTTGACGGCAATGCCTACGAGAGAATTTTCGATGCGGCCATGAAGAATCCCATGAACCAGAAGTCGGTTCCAAAGTCCTTCCACGAGCATCTTAAGCCCTTCATGAAGTCAAATATCTAGTACCAGTGCAATCTAAATATGTATATGTTTATGACTCTTATAAGTGTGTGATCAAAATATCTTTTTTGTATTGTTAGTTCTCTTTTTTTAATTTCAATGGGTATCCCCAAGATTTACTTTTACTTGGAACGGCATTTGAACATCTTAAAATAGCTTTTGTCTATCTCTTGTAATATGCAGATTGCACACCATCTGGTGGCCCCCACCGATATATTCAGCTCCAAGATGGGAGCTCTTCAATTGGTACTTGCCACCACTAAGGGTGGTGATGGACTGACAATGGACTACAGATAATGTAACGTGCTATATATTTATTATCACATTTAGTGCAAATTTTACTTTCAGGCCTTTGAAAAATTAACTTTTTGTTTGCTAAAACTGGTTTTTGGTCTTGAAGAGGAAGCTCTCCATTTCTTTCAATGAAACTAAGACTGAATCCAATCCAGTGGGGGCTTCATTTGCAGGAGGAGGTTCCGTATCTATATTTATTGTTTCTGAAGCTATTGCAGCACCGACGTATAATGGCTCCTGGTTTATGGTTTTTTCTGACACTGCAACAGCAAGTTCAGTAACTGCTGGAGCCACTATTTCTGAAGCTTTTTCAACAGAAGACTTCGGGTTAAAGATTTCTGCTGCACATACGGCACGTGCGAGAACTGCATGTCGCTCCTCACGACTTCTTTCTACTGCTGCTAGTGTACGAGCTGATGAGGGATCTACGCTTTCTTTCTTTATGTTTTGTTCTCTTACAACACGAGGTTCCTGCTTTATGTGTTCTGCTGCTACTGGACGAGCCGCTGCGGGATCTACGCTTTCCTTCTTTATGTGTTGCCCTTTCACAACAGGTGGTTCCTGCTTTATGTGTTCTGCTGCTCCTGCGATCTCCTCCTGGCTGCTTTGGGACTCTTTGTACTCGATTGGTCCTTGGGCACGACGTCGTAGCACCTTACGTTCAATATGAAATTTGGCGCTTTCCAGAGCCTTACGCTTCCTGCATAAAAAATAGTGTATGACTGAACTCCGAACCGAACTGAGCTAAATTAGGAAACTAACCTGTTACGTGGACTCAGTTTAGGAGTCACGTTGGAAGATGGAGGTGCTTGGCTGCTTGTAAGGCCAGACACTTTCAGTGCTTCGACATTCCCAGGGACAATTTTTAAGGAAGAATCCTCATATGCATCTGTAAGCTGCTGATAGATGGCCGAACCTGAGAGCATCTGTTTGTTTGTCGCCTTGAAAGCTTCCATATCAAACAACTTTGTGGCGACCGTGCCTGTTAGGGAAAAGAGAACTGCTGTACAAATACTCGTCTAACCCGGCAGGCCACATACCTCTGCGCAACTGGGCGCCCTCGATGCGATACTGCTTCAGCTCTTCATCTTTAGCCTGCAGCTGCTTGGCCAGCGCGAACACCTGATCCCGCAATCTACTGCCGCAGGAAATGGAGTCAATGAAAGCCTTGCGATAAAACTGAAACAAAAGAGCGGCAATCAGCCATTAGTGTGGATGGCATCTGGACGGTAACTAACCAAGGCTCTGTCCATGCGTTTCAGGTGCCACTCCCACTTGAGTGGCATGTTGTTCAGCATTTTATATTTAAGTTGCAGCACGCATCCCACATCCTGGTCTGCCTCGCTCAGCGAAGCATATGTGGGTAGATCGCCACCACTGACTAGAACCTCGCGTGCATCATCTTCTGGGAACTTCACTCGAGAGTTCAGCATCTGCAAACATTAGTTTAATTTTGCCCCAGCATTTATATGTGCATGTGTTCTGGTCCAGAAAACTTACCTTCAAGCGCTTGGTGAAATCGCTAGGTACCACAGATTCTGTGTAGCTTTGCTCGAGCGCTAGGTCGTGGCACTGCAGATAAATCCCAGTGTCTGGACCTGAGGCCAAGAAATGCATTATGAAATTTCTTCCATTTATTTCTATTACTGTTAGCATTTTGTAGTTGTCTGGTTCTTGTTCTAAGGGGGGCAAAGGTGTTGACAGCAGTGCTGCCAGACTTTGAAAGTAACCATAAGAACAAGAATTAGCTAGAATAAGCTAAAAATTAGTTTGTGCCATGCTTGCACATTGTTGTGTTGTTGCATTGGTTTTTAGCGACAGCATGCTGCCGTAATTTGCACAAAATTGGATGATTTCCCAAAATACGAACAAGAAATATAATTTGTATCAGTTTTCTCGCTAAAAATTAACAAACATTACAATAAAATCAACAAACAGAAATTTGTTCTTACTTATTATTTTAATCCAAAATAAGCTAAATTAACTTTTAAATAAGTAACTTTCAAGCATTTTAAATATTTTCAAGCTATTTGGTTTTAAAATTAGCCAAATCTAGCTTAAAATAAGTAAAATGGCAACACTGGTTGACAGTTGTTTTTTGAATTTAATGCTCGTCTAACAGCGAGCTGTTATGCGCACTGATATACGCGACTAACAGCTGTAGCAGCTGTGCTAGACAATAAAAATCATTGGCAAAAATTGTTTACCATGAAAAATATTTCCATGCGACTTACGGCCCTCATTTGGGCGTTCTACAGTTCGGAAAAATGCGGTGATTCCAAAGTAAATTCAAGTAATTTGATTTAGTGGCGCTTCACAAATATCAGCGGATCAATAAACAGACTAAATAGATGTTGTGCATGCTTTTAACTCGGTCGGCTCTCTCTCTCTCTTAACAAAGCTTCAACTTGCACTTTGCTCCCAAAAGCGTTCACGCTCGAGCCCGACGAGCAACTTTCGCTCTGCACGATCCATTACTTTGTTGGGGCTCACAGCTGTTGGAACATTCCGCTCTTTCTACTGTACTGCACTTAGTGTTGCTTGTTGTTAGTAAAATTGTAAACGGCCCGATCCAATAATGTCACACATCAAGAAACTCATACCAAAGACGGTCAATCCCGACCTGCTGAAGGAGCGCACGGACGCCGAGTTCAATGTGGAGGAGTTTGCTGCATGGTGGCAGGGCGGCCAGGAGAAGCTGAACACCAAACGCGAAGTCGGTAAGTCGAAATATGCCACAAAAACCTGGGGAGGGCTATGTGATAGCTGGCCATGTTCACTGGCCAATCTTGCAGCGAAGGATTAAGGGTCGGGTCCAAAGAGTTCGTCTAATTACCGGCAAAGTCCAAGAGATTTATACATTGTTAAGCGTGTGAACAACCAATGTTGGTATATCAGTAACAGATAATGATACAAGCAAAGTTTCATTTGATAAGCGGTAACTGCAACAGCAGACAGCAGACTTGCTTATCAAACCGCGGCCTCATCAACATCCACGCCCCCAAGCGATAACGAATTTTTTCGACAGAAAGGGCAATCTTTAGCGATCTGGAGGACGGCTATGGACTGAATCATGAGTACATGTCACACGAGGATGTCTACAATTCGAGCGTAAAGAAAGTGGCAGAAGCCGCCGTCAAGCTGAAGGCGCTCCAGAACAAGATCAACCCAGGCGGCAACGACATTTGGCCGTAAGTTCCCCACCCCGACCATGTTAGAAAGAACGTTTCCTCTAATCCTCCTCTAATCTCTTTCTGGTGCAGAGGTTTGCTATACAATGTGGAGAGCCACGGACTCTTTCCCGCCAACCATCCACTGGCCACGCACATCACCATGTTCGTGGATGTGATCAATGGTCAGGGCACGCCGGAGCAGGTCGAGAAATGGGGCAAGGCGGCCGAGAACTGCAACATCATTGGCACCTACGCCCAGACGGAGCTGGCTCACGGCACCAATGTGCGAGGTATAGCCACGCGGGCGGACTTTGACCCTAAGACGGACGAGTTTGTTCTACACACCCCCAATTTGGAGGCCTACAAATGGTGGCCCGGCGGCTGTAAGTAGTATCCGTAGTAATCTTTCAAGTGTCACTGACAGATCTGTATCTGCCCTTCTGCCAGTGGGACACACGGCGAACCACGCCATGGTAGTGGCACAGCTGTACATCGCCGATGTCCACCACGGAGTCCAAATGTTTATTGTGCCTGTGCGCGATGCAGAGACTCACATGCCACTGCCCGGCGTCGACATCGGAGAGGTGGGGAAGAAACTGGGAATGGTGGCTGTCAACCAGGGATTCTTGGGGCTGGACAATGTCCGCATTCCACGCACCAACATGCTGATGAAGTTCGCCAAAGTGGAGAGAGATGGCACCTTCAAGGCCAGCCCCGCCTCGAGGGTCAACTATCTGACCATGGTCTACACCCGCTGCCTGATTGTCAACCTGACCTCCACTCTGCTGCTGGAGGCGGCTACCATTGCCACCCGATACTCGGCCGTGCGCCGCCAGAGTCCCTTTGAGGCCAAGTAAGTGCTCAAAGAGTGCTCATCCTCCATCCATCCATCCATTTATGTTGATAACTTCCGTCCGCTTGCAGTCAGCCGGAGCCTCAGATCATTGATCATGTCACGCAGCGCCTGAAGCTCTTTCCGGAAATAGCCAACGGCATGGCATACCACCTGGCCGCAGAGCACATGTGGGAGATATACGCCCAGACGGTGGAGGAGGCCAACAGCGGCAAGTTCGACCGACTGCCCGACATGCACATCCTGTCCTGTGCGCTCAAGGTCCTTGCAACAACAGACGGCTGTGCGGGCATCGAACGGCTGCGTCTCTCTACCGGCGGACACGGCTACCTGACTGCTGCCAACATGAGCAACATCTACGGAAACGCTGTGGCAGCCTACACCTACGAGGGCGAGAACACAGTGCTGCTCCTGCAGATTGGACGCGCTCTGGTCAAGGCCTGGGCTGCGTTTGTGGAGAAGAAACCCGTCTCGGCTTCCTACGGCTATTTTGCGACATCCATGCAGCTGAAGCAGTCCCCAAAATGGGACAACTCCAGGCAGTGCATCATCCAGGCCCTCCAGTATACGGCCGCTCAGTGAGTTCCAAATTGCTTTATCCGAGAATCACTTGTTTAACTTCTCCATTCTCCACTCTCCATTCAGGAAGACTCGCATTGCCTTCGAGAACCTAGCAGAGCGCATGGCCAGTGGCCAGTCGCAGGGTGTGGCAGCCAACAACACAGGCATTGAACTGGCCCGAGCAGCAGAGGTGGGTTGACTTTGCCTAAATTGTAGCCTTTTTCAACGATTATCTTCTATTTCCAAATACAGCTGCATGGCCGTCAGTTTGTTTGCCAAACATTCCTCGAGCAAGTCACAGGTCCCAAGGCACAAAAGCGTTCGGCGGCTCTCAACAAGATTTTGGAGAATGTGCTGGAACTTTTCCTGGTCCAGACTGTGCTCAATAACATGAACGATGTTCTGAGAGTAAGTAGCATACTGTAGAATGATCGAATCGACTAATATCTTACCGAATTCCAATCTCCATTCTCCACTCGCAGTTTATCAGCCTCACCGATGCAGACCTCAAGTCACTGCAAAAACGCTTGGAGGTGGCTCTGGAGAAGTTCCGTCCCAATGCAGTGGCCGTTTGCGACGGCTTCGGCTTCCACGATCGCGTCCTCAACTCGGTGCTGGGCAGCTATGATGGCAATGTCTATCCCCGACTGTTCGATTCGGCCAAGCGCAGCACCATGAACCAAAAGCCAGTCCAGAAGTCCTTCGAGACCTATCTGAAGCCTCTGATGAAGGCTAACTTGTAAATTGTCCCGCTCTAGGTCATGCTCTATCTTTGATCTGTTTTGTTTATCTATCGATAATATACGATAAATAAATTTGAATAACCGAAAACTCTTTGGTTGTAATGGCTAGACATTTCAATCTGTTGAAAACCGTTTCTTAAGCAGCCTTAAATCCTGGTAACATCGGATGAGAGTGAGCGTTGAGATACTCGCATACTTCAAGGCGTAAAGGCAAATCCATAGTTTATATCTGCTTCGAAATTTGTCAAGAATGTTAATGTTCTACTTGCATGAACAACATACAGTGTTACTGGTTCTTTGCAGGAGTGAACATAGCCACGACCTTTATGTGTATGATAATGGCATCTGTTCAAGTTCACAAATACAATACCTAAACCCAGAAGGATAAAAGGATGCATAAACGAAGTGAGATTTTTTTGGTGCTTCCAATGCGGATTATTGTGCTCCTTAAACAGACCAAATTTACGTCGAATTCATATCTTCCTTCAGCAATCCTACAATGTTCTAATCCTTCCATTCTCGTTTTGTTCATTTCAATAGTCGACAGGCGATTTTATTGTTCAAGAAGCGTTTCGCATTAGTGTAAGCTTACATACAACATAGAAACTCGAAAACTTTCTAAAGGTTCGTATAGATTGTTACTACAAAAGGGTCACGGGGAATGGAATTAGTTGCATTATCAACAACATTCTAAGATTTAACATAAGTACACGTACTTAGATTATAAATAATTTACAGTGTTTTTGCGGTGATCTGTGACCGCGTTCTGGCCCTCTGGCTTACTGGCCGCCGGCACGCTGCACATTGTCGAATGGGACCAAAACGCCTGGAGGACCGCCAAAGCGGCTCGAATGGCTGGTGGAGTCTGGCTGTTGCGTCTGCTGTGGCTGCTGGAAGGGTCTTGGCTCGGCCTGAACAGAGAGAACACCGTTGGGTGCACCGAAGCCGCCGGTGTAGCGACCAGGGTTGACAGTAGGACGAGCCCTGTTGGCCTTGAGTGTGTTACTGAATTCGTGCTGGTTTCCGGCCACGTAGGTGCCAGCACTGCTGTCCGGACTGTTGGCTGCTCCGGGATTGGTGTTGGCGCCGGAGCCGGAGCCGGAAGTGCCTTGGGCCTGGGGCCGCAGCAAACCCGCTGGGGCGCCAAATCCTCCTGTGTACTTGCCCGTGTTGCTGGGGGGCGTCGATGTGTCTGATGGAAGATTACATCAGATGGTGGTCTCCCGGGGGTATTGATGGCGTACTCACCTTTGCGCTGTGCACTGATCGGGGTGCTGATCACTTTTCCCTCGTCGCTCTTCGTGTACTCCACCTTCTTGGTGACGCCCTCAGTGGAGCTGCCGGCATTGAAGGGCGGGAACTGGTCCTCGGTGACGGCCTTAGGCGCCTGGTTCTGGACGGCGGACTGAATGCCTTGGGGATCAGAGCGTGCTGCAAAATTGGTGATAGAGTTTGTACTAGGATTTTGTGGGACGGAGCTGCTCGTGCTGCTGGAGGCGAAGGACGAGGTGGAGTCATCGCTGGGCTTGTCAGCTGGCGGCACCAGTACCAGCGGCGGCTGTGGGCTCTCATTGGTGCTGCTGAGACTGCTGTCGATGCCCTGGGCGGTGCCTGGAAGCGGAAGCGAGACTATGGATGGAAAAGCGGAGGAGACGGAGGCCGCAGCTGGGGCTGCTCTGGTCGGGATTGGTGTTGGTGTTGGTGGGATGGTCGGGGAGCGTGATGCTGCTGGCTCAAAGCCCTGGGGCCGAAAGTCAATTGGCTTACTACCTCCCGCCGGCTGCGTCAAAGCTGCCTCCTTGAAGTTGTCCGGATTGTAGGGCACTCCTGGTCCCACGTCCGGATAGTCAAAGTCCCGCAGCCAGGCCGGCACCGTTGACGAATCAAATGGGCTGTTGTCCTCCGCTGTCATGGGCGTGGTTGCCGTTCCCGTTGCCCCTTTCAGGAGATCTGTGATGTGAGTGGTTGTGATCAGTTTCGTTTTCTGTGTTTTTGTTGTGTGCTGTGGTTGGGTGCTGTGCGTTGTTGTATGGGTATGGGTATGGGCCTTGGTGGTACTAGTTGTGGTGCTCGGCGTCGTATGCAATGGCGCAGGCTCAGCCGTCGGTGGCGGCGTCAACTGAATGTTGTTGAGCTCCACGAACGGCTCGTACGGCGGCTCCAGATCGTCGGCCAGCGTGTGGTTGTACTCGTCATTGTCCTTGGGCACGATAAAGGTGACGGCCACGTCAAGGTCCGGATCGGTGACTTCCTGCAGCCAGGGGGGCAGCGTGTACGCGTACTCCTCGTTGTTGTCCAGTCTGTAGAAGGTGGACGGATCCAAGGGGGTGGTGCTGCGGGGCGTTGGCTGCACTGTCGTCGTTCTTCTGGTCGTTGTGAATATTCTTGGTGTCGTTGTTCTCCTAGTTGTGCTGGTTGTTGTTGTAGTTGTTGCTTTTGTTGTTGTTGTCGTCATTGGGGGCTGAGTAGTGCTCGTACTCCGCGGCCTTGGCGTCGACGTCGTGCTTCTGGTGGTGCTATAGTGCGCCGTTCCGCGATGGCGATTGGGGAATCTACCACCCGCATTGCTCGGCGTCGTGCTGCCCACATGTGCATTGGTTCCATGAGCCTCCGGTCCATCCCGCTGCAGCGGCACCACCGACACCTGGCCCTGCGTCTGTTGGTGCGGCACAGGGGCCGCCGGCATCAGGGCATCGCCGCTGCTCAGACTCAGGCGAATGTTGTGACTGGCAGGATCCTCCACTCCCAGCACGTACCGCGTCGGCTGTTGCTCGGTGATTATCAGTGGCTCCAAGGTCGGGGCAGGGGCGGTGACAGGGTCTGTGAGATGCGGCGGCAACAGGTCCCAGGCGATGACACTCAGGGGCGCTGTATTCGGTGCCGGAGTCCATGGCACTGGGCCGCCAATGTCCGGATCCTGATGCTGCAACTCTCGGATATACTCGGGCAGTGTTCCACTGGCCACCAGCGGCTCCTGGACGCTCTCCTCTTGCTGCTGCTGGATCGGCACCAGCTGGGCCTGTTCCACCTCCACATCTGTGGTGACAGTCGTCGTGCTGGGGGATGGGCTATGCTTTGGTGGTGTTAGTGATGTGGCTGGTATTGGTGCTGGTGCGGATGCAGATGCAGATACGGATGCGGATACGGATGCTGGGGCTCGTGCGAATGAGTTCTGATCGGTGCTCGTGTCCAGGCCCACTGCGATGGCATCTAGTTGGGAAGGATTCGTATTTGAGTATTTCACATCTAACAGAGGTCTGGATCCTGGATTTGGATTCGAAGACAGTGAGGAAGGCGGAGAGGACGGGTACGAGGGGTAAGGACAGAGATTGAGACTGGGACTGGGACTGCGACTGGTTGGGGATGCTGTACTAATCTGTGTAATGATTGAGTTGGGGCCAAAGGGATTCAGCCGGAGCAGGGTAAAAGTGGGCGGGGAATGACGGGGACTGGGCGGGGCAATGGCATATTGAGTGGAAGTGGAGTTGGAACTGGCTTTGCTGTGGGTTTCAGGTGAATCGCGCTTAAAGAGCTTCCCCGCAATTTCATTTGTGGTTTCTGGGGTTAGTGCTTCTACATGAGTGGTGCTAATTGTGGGTGTGGGTGAGCGGGTGCTAGTGCGGGTGCTAGTACTTGTGAGTGGTGCAACCAAGGCATTTGTGTCTGTTGTGTCTGTTGGTGTTTGCGGTACACCGTTCGCGGCAGTCCCTGCTGCACCGCTGGTCGCTGCTGCTCGCGTTGGACTGGCCGTCGCTCTGGCTGCAGCCTCAGCTGCCTCTCTTGCTGTTGCTGTTCCTGTTGTCAACTCACCAATGTGGGGCGGGAGCAGATCATCCGCCGGCTGTCGGATATCCGTGATGCCGGACGCATAGGTAGGTATCTCGAACTGGAGTCCCTGGGCGCTGACTACCTTGCGCCCGTCGGGCGTGTCGATGGGACGCAGACCCGCGATCGGATTGCCGTAACTGTCGACGGACCTCTGGCCGCCCACTCCGGCCACATTGAATGCCTCCGCCGTCTGCGCCAGTGGCGGCTGCAGCTCTAAGGCGAATGGCGAGGGCCGTACATCTGCGGGAGAAGGGAGGGTGGGTTGGTTGCTGGTTTCAGTGGCTTGCAAAACCTCTTCAGAGAGTTGAAAGGTGTTAGAAGCAGATGCAGAAGCAGAAGAGTACAGAGTATCGAGACGAGGACGATGAAGTAGCTGATGGGGTAGATGGTGGGGTTTCTGGGTGACAGATGAGTCAGCCGCGGGAGGCTTTTGAGCAATTTTCCTGCCACTTGCCACTTGCCGCTTGCCTCCTCCTCTTGCCTCTTGCCGCTGATTGATTGACATTGACTAAGATGGGCCATACATTTGGATGGATAGATGTCTCTCCTCTGGATGGGTGATTCTGTTGTGACTATTGTGACTGTTGTGTGGTGCTGTGGTGCTGTTGCTGTAAAGGTGCTTTGCCATGCAATGTGGCTTCTGTTAGTTACACAAAGGTCTGCCACCAAATAAAATTCAATTTTAAAAGTTAGTCACTGACTACGATTGCTTGTTCATGTGTGTGTGTGTGGAAGGTGTGGATGCTGTGTGAGTTTGTGTGGTTGTGTGGGTGGGACAGGTGTTCAACTGCATGGCATGCAAGCAAAATGGCCACCAAGTTCGTTGCCTAAGTCTTTTGTTTTCGCCTCCAATTGTTGGTCCAGTTAGGGCACAGTTACAGTGCGTTTCATAGTCCAGTATACGATAAAGCTGCCATAGAAAGGAGGTGCCTAACAGTAGGGGGAAAGCCCGCAGCTGTAGGAAAAACCTATCAATTATCTGCTGAGAAATCAGAACCCACCGCTATCACAGGTGCACGAAACGCACTGTACCCTCCCGCCTTTCAATTAGCGTATGATGTTTTCATTGTTCCTACCCCTGGGACTGTGGGAAGCCGTGTGACAGGGGCCCGGAACAGGCGGGACAATTCAATGGCCAAATTAATTGTGAATCATCGACGACCCTCCCGACAGACAGTATATTCGTTATGTGTTGGAGACTGTGTTAGAGTCGGCGGTTCTGTGCGGTGCGCTCGTGCCGTGTGCGAATAATTAATAACAATTTACTTGGAGGCTTGCACAGTTCTCCATTCTCAGCCAAGTGGCGATTTGATCTGCGATTGCTCAGATTTGTGATCCCTGCCTCGATTGCTCGATTCCTGTTTACATCGGAATAACTGAATAATATTTTAATAAGTCACTTCCCCTCTACAGCTCACTCTCTCTTGCTGTGGGGGAATTCTGGAAATGCGGTTTCTGCTCGGAAACTCGTCTGTGACTAAGCCTCAAACTGAATGCCAGATCATGATGGGCGTTCCATTCATTCGATTTGCTTAGTCTTTGGCTTTGGCTAGTTAGTTCCGGCTACTAAGCATATGTATGTGCATATTATTTATTTTATATACACATACTCGTATAATGCGGTTGTTATTTGCATTCGAGATGGGTTCGGTTCGGCTCTATCTGGATTCCCATTCGGGGCTGGAAACCCTGAACTTTCCTTTCATTCTGAACCCATCGCATACTCGTACTCATAAATATGAATGCCTGTGAGCGATCAGATGAAGATACAAGCATCCACCATTACTCATTATGGCACAAAGTGTTTTTGGGTAATTGAAATTCCCTCACAGCCAGCCACCACACTTCCGCCTGAGACCAGGCCTCAAGTTCAGGCCAATTAATTTTGCTTGTCTCCATCTCCAGCGACAGCCAACACCATCTTTATCTGCCTCTCCGCTAATATGTTTATTCAATTTAATTTTAATTGATTGACAGCTTCACGACATCTGCACCCCCACAAGCCCCAAGCACAATGCAATGGGATTTCTTGGGGCAGCTTGAAAATACTTGTATTTTTCACTTGCCAATTGTACAGTTTTGTCTGCCGCCTGCCTGATTGTCTCTCGTTTTGTTTCATTATTATTTTTTTTTTTTGGTTGTATTTTGTTTTTTGACAAGTTTTTATGTTTAGTCAACCTTCAGCAGAAATAAAAAATCAGCAAAAAAAATTGTAATGGATTTTGATTAATCTTCGTTTTGTATCATCCTCTCGGAGGGCCTTGAGTTATCGACTTATTGAGCTCCCAGCCCCCACACACTTGACGCGAAACTCAACGCGAAAAATGTTTCAAAAGTCATAAAAATCCCAAGAAACAAAAGCCAGCGTGTAAATAATACCTTGTTTTTAAATCAAATCAGATGCAAAGCTCGTATTTATTGCACTTGAAATGATTGCCTCGATCGGATCGGATGGATATGGGGTAAATTATTGCGAAAAGGAAACCAGATCGCATGGAAATGTCAGGGGGGAAGAAAACTGAGACTCTCCCATAAATACATAAATATTTATTGGAATAAAGCGAACGTTCTAGACGGGTGTCGGGTGCTCTTTTGAAGAATTTGAAAAAGTATCTACTTGCCTGTGGCAATCGATTGCAAAACGAAATGTGATTTTCTATGACGAAATCAAGTTACTGCCGTCTCTACTCGCGGTATACTCGGTATATCTTCATCTGTATCTATAACTGGTTGATATCCCATTGTGTTTTAATTACGATAAGCTCAAGTCGAGCCATTAATCATAAAAAGCGAAAATAAAGCACGATTCCCAATTGAGACCCCATAGGAGTCGCCAGGTCGTGCGAATTTGCTAATTATCACGTACGGGACCATTCATTACGATAAGTCCATTGATTGCCGAAAATTCGAAATCTGAAACCGACAAATCTGGTGTGAACAACCATAGAAATCCATTAAAGAAATACTCCGAGCATTAGATAATGCCTAAAGATACATATGTATATGGTTGCGGTGTCTGTGTCGATTTCGGTTTCGGTCTTATTATTATCCAATTAAGCGGAATAGTTGCCAGCCATATCCCTTTATAACTATTCCAACCTGTCCTGATCTATCTGTCACAAAAGCTTCTTCGTTTAGCTTGAAGCTTCCCATTTGTGGCCCCATGACCTAAAAAAAGCCCCATCAACAGCGGATTGAAGCTGAAGGTGGTGTAAACAACTCTGTTAACAAATCGTCTTCTCGAAAGCGTCGCTAAATTTATAGACCTCTGCTCTGCTGGGCCTGGGACCAGACCCCTACTCAGGGTGGTTGGAGAATGGGAAGCACAGCTCGTCCCAGAGGTCGCATGCCCCTCCACCGAGCCTTGTCCCTGCCTGAAGCCTAAGATGGAGACGAAGTCGAGAAGGAGGAGGAGGAAGATCGACAACGATTCAGGGGAAGAGCCTTGCCAGTCACGTTATCTGTCGCTTGGTGTCGCTTGCATAACATCGGCTGCCGCTGCTGCTGGCTGTTGCTGCTGATGTTTCTGTAGCTTTATTTTTCTTGGGTACACAGCCATCAGCATCAGCTCTGCTCGAATTTCAGTTTGGGAACTCGATGCCGCCGTCTGTTTGTTTTTGCAGCGGCTACTTGACTTCGCTTGGGTCCGGATCGTAATGATCTGCGCCTAATTTACTCGAGCCCCCAAACAGTTTGTTTATCAAATAAAAACAGATTAAACTGCAGTAGCAGCATTTCCAAAGTATTTGAGGTTGAGGGAAGGCAAGGTGCAGGTGGATGTGGATTTCTCCCGGCTAGGACTCTTATCCGCCCCTCAATGTGGGTCATGAGCATGAATGAAGGTCGTTTGCGAGGTGAGTATAAGTGCTTTCTGTTGTAGAATGTGATTTCGGTGAGAGTTGGAGCTAAGGTCTAAGAGCAACACAAAGTGGTAGGGGGGTGGGGTAGTGGGGGTGGGTGGTAGTGGTAGGGTAGGGTAAACAACACATAAAATTAGTAACACTTGGAGGTCGAAGGAAGCTTGGATATTGGGCGTAAACCATTCATGCCCTATCCAAGCTTCTTTCGATTACAGATTGCAGTAAACACACATACATATATAACATTAGATATTCAAAACTGTTAGGCATGCGCATGCGTAGACGTAAAGAAGACAAAAAGCGAAACAGATGCGCAAGAGAGAAAGAGATATTAATTCCAAGAGCGAACATCGGATTCGCATAATCGTGCAAATTGAAGCGATGCCGATAACGCAATCGAAACGTTATACGATAGTGCTATGGTTTTCTGCTATATTTTTGTTTCTATTTTTATACCAGGCCTTCCAATGGCTGCGTGGACGCTGAGGAGCAGCAGCATCAGCGTAGCGGTAATGCTGGCAGAGCTATCACCGCCGCACTGTGGTCTTTTCATTTTGATTTGCATTTTCGTGGGTAGGGTAGGAATTACAGTTGCTCGCCGTTGTATTTTTTTGTTTGTTATTTGTTGTCTTTGTCACGCAATTAACAATTTAGAATTGGGCATTGCCCAAATACAGAGTCGAAATCCGCGAGCGAGTTCGAATAATTATTGCGTAGGAGCAGAATAACAATGATCGGAGCCGCGGCGATGACAAAATCGAAGGCAACGCAAGCGAGCCGGCGGCGGCGTGTGCACAACACCGTATTGCCAAATACAAATAATATGTAATATTCCAGCCTCTTCTCCAGCCTATTATTCACATCAAATTCAATCAAACTGCGACACGATATCACGAATCCCCAAGACGCGCGTCCGACGACGATGCAACTAGCAGCTACGAGGAGTCTATCGGGAGATTGAGTTTCAGATTGAGAGGGAGAGTGCGAGAGAGAGCGAATGGAGAGGATTTAACAGGTGGCGCGGTGGTGCGATCGAGCGAGACACGTCCGCAGCTCACGAGTTCTGCGGTTTCAATAAACTTGGCAGCGCTTGGAGCTTGAAGCTTGACTTGGAGCATGGCTCTGCTTCTGGCTGTGACTGTGGCGCTGGCGCTGGCTCTGGCGTTGGCAGCGGCAGCAGCATCAGCTTCCAGGTAAGCCAGGGAAATACTGGAACACTAACTGTTTTGTTTACTGATTGACTCTGTCCAGTCTTTTGCATTCCCCTTCAAGAGGGTAAGGTACGCTTCGTAAAAATCGTAATTACATTTAGTTGCCATTAGAGCATCATCGAATCGCATTTCCATTGCCTGCTGCAACTGGAAAGCAGTGTAAGCTAATTGATGTAATTGTTGTCTTTCTACACTCACACACGCTGACGTATTGCCAATGACGTTTAAGGTCAGCCACTGCGCACCGCCCCATCTGATCTGATCCGATGCACAGCCCATTCCCACATCCAACATTCAGCTAACAGCCGCTTAACATTCCAGCCGACCATTTCCAAACCAAACGAGCAAAACCAAACGACTCTCAGACAGATAGAAATTTAGCATAAACAGAAAAAAGGGTAGCTTTTTGGCCGAAGATTAGCATACCCTCAAACTATATCGACAGAAATCTCAGGCAGAAAAAATTCGAACATTGAGGATCTACTTTTCGTGGAAACAGACTGGATGTCTCTACCATTACCGTCCCCTAGAAGGGTATTACAACAGAAAAAACACACGCAGTCAAAATGCAAATTGAAAACGAATGTGTTTGGCTTTGTTTTATTTTTAGTTGACAGGTTTGGCTTGATTTTTGTCAAATATTATGCTAACAATGCATAATTTATGCGAACCATTTATCACAGATCCGACAGATCCTGTTCTCAGAGTGACTGTCGTCAGAGTCAGTCTTTAAAAACAACGTTGACAGAAACATTGACATTCGAAGCCCGAAGCCTGCGAAGTCTTCTGGGGCGAGTCGGGCTGCATTGAAATTTTGGCTGGATCCAGTCAGAGCCAGACCCCGACCAGGCCAGACGTTGAGTTGATAGATCAATGAAGATGCGTTCATCAGTGCGGAGTCAGTGATCGATGAACTTTTGTCATTTAAGCCCGTTCCAGCGATTAACACGATCATTGATTAGATCATCGGCATGTGGAGGCGAACTTGTACGATGTGCCGTCAGTATTGTAAAGAATGTTTCTGCAGGTCCGGTCATATAGATAACGATCATCCTTGAATGATAAACCCATCCACTATCCAACGTCTATGGTATTCAGTAAATAATGCGCTAATTACCCTGAAATCCTATTGAAAAGCCCGACCGTAACCATACCTTTGTGATGTCTCTGGAATGTAATTATGTTTTGGCCCAAGCAAAACCTATCAAACGAAATTATGTCAGCTTATTGGTTCCGCATTTGAGCATATTACCGGCATTTGCCTTTGGACGATCAAAGAGTCAGCTTCCTACCGCCTTATGATGGGTCGTCACCTCGGTCTCGGGCGTAGTACAATGGCGCTGGTCTTGCTATATTATGTACAGGGGATACAAAGAGTTGGGGGGTTAGTAGTACACGTACTCGTAGTAGACGTACCCCTCCTTTAGAGCGGCCATGTGTCAGTATCTGTGATGTCAATGATTGCTTGTTTAGCTTTGGCATCATCATCGGGAATCATTGCTATTATTACTGCTACAATTACAGCAAAGATATTGCCAAATGGGCCGTATCCCGCCCAATGCCCAACAGTAGCTTTGGGCTTTTGTTGGTTGCGGCGCGGCGCCCGCCGCCCGACAATAAATCAAAACGCTTAGAGACGGACAAAGGGGCCGGGAACTGAGACAAAGCCCATCAATGGTCTCCCGACCCGGGACTCAGCGGCGTCAAAGAAGTAATCAAAATTGTATTACGAAAACAAACGTTTTTATAAATTTCGTTTCGTTTCGTTTCTTTGGCCCAAAACAATGGAAATGAACGGTAGGGCCAGGTCTGGCTCTGGTACGAGTATAGCTCTGGTAGCATTAGGAGCAGCCCTCTGTCTCTGCGAAAACTGCAAAGTCAGCGACAACACCAGCAAAGCTTAAAAAGCATTCAAGCTATATATTATTTACTTTAATAGAGTCTCTCCCTCCGTTGGGAAATGACACCCAGAGTGGGGTCTGCGCCTGCGCCTGCGCGACCCCAAAACCGAAACCGAAGCGAACCGAGCTACCCTTTCACCTGGGATTGGGTTTTATTAATTGTTTATAATTATTAATTTCACACCGAATCCGATTAACAGTCGCGACTCAGGCCCCAAGTCGGACTTCCGCTAGCTGTTTTCGTGCGAGGATGCTCTATCTTTTTTGGGGGGGAAAACTTAAAAGGTTAACACATCGCGTAATCACTGTTTGCCAAATTGTTTATGTTGTTTACGATTTCGCAACCAGTTTCGTATTAATAAAATTCAATATAATGCAATTGTCGAACGCATCCCACATGGAAAACGTTTTCGAAAACAAAAACACCAAAAACATCATCACACTGGAACACTCGAAAAGTTGATGGAAACCGCCGACCAGTTTGCATTCGGCATTTTGAGTGCTGAACCAGTTGACGGCGGCTGCTTCGGGCCACGAGACAGAGAGATACTACCACAACGGCGCATCTTTTTTATTGCAAAAATATTGAAAAATGCAACAACATACAAGCATACATACATATATACTCGTACATATGTATGTACATTAGCTCTTGTTGGTCACAGCGACCGCGACCTTAACACAAATTTCGATTTTGGTTTTATTTAAAGCAGGGGGTGGGGTGCATCGGGTTTTTCTTGTCTCATGGGAGGCGCTGGATGGGACTGGACTTGTCTTTCATAAATAAATCTGAAAACTTGGGAATTACTGCAAAAATGCTAGTTGAGTCATTCCCTGCATAGAATACGATTGCGAGTAAGCAAGATATGACGGTTCATTGAAACCCAAAGCGAAACCGAAAAAAACTCAGAGAAACAAATAAACACATTAATAATTTGTCTTTTGGGACAGACTTTTTTTGTTGGCCATTTGCGTAGGGTATTTTTTCGCCATAATCGAGCGTTCACACACATAAGCTCTCTGATGGGGCCGGGCCGTGACTGAAGAAAGTCAAGAATAACCAGATCGGGTTCGAGAAGATTAGCTGGAATCGGTAGAAACAGACATATCGTAGATACATTTGATTGGCTTGAAAAACATTTGGTTGCCATCTGAACTGCAAACAAGATGGATAGACATTTATTTGTAAATTCAAATAGAGCCGTTACCACCTAGCGGAGACGTCACACATTGGAGCTCACACAGCTCGTCATTCGCTGACATGTGTCGACCTGCAGCCCTAGGTGGAATCAGCTGTTTTCACACTGGCGGTTCCATGGGGCTCCATGGTAATTACATAAAGATGTAGTTACCATGTAAAGAAATTAATTTAGTGGACATTGTTTAAACTTATTTGTAAATTCACGACTGGATGGCAACAAGTGTAGGGTACTGGTTACAAATATTACAATCAAATATTATTACAAAATCAAAAACAAAAATTCTTTTGTACTAAACTTGCTTAAGCCAAAAAAAGCTAAATTAAATTTGAAAAAAGTTAGATTTCAAGCTATAAGCATTTTAATTATTTTTCAAGCTATTTGGTTTTAAAATAAGCCAAATCTCCTTAAAAAAAGCTAAAATGGCAACAGTGGTGATAACCCAAAACAAAAGATAGAGCTTTACGGATCAATCAGCTCCCAATAAAAGCCAGTATTTAGAATAGGCCAGTCAAGTAGAAAATGGATTCACTAATCGGATAAAATTATGTGGGCATGGCAAATTGTTTTATCTAGCTAATAATATTCGACGGAATAACAAAATTGAACAATAGGAACGACTATCCTCTTTCGTTTTGGTTTGTTTGACCATTTTCGCTAAAACCTCTTTATATGCAAAATGCAATAAAACCAAGTATTAAAAATAAACCAGTTAATTAGAAAATAGATTCACTAATCGGATAAAATTATGTGGGCATGGCTAAATGTTCTATATAGCAAGTAATATTCCACGGAATATCAAACACGAGGAATATGTAAAATAGAACTTGAATTTGTGAGTATAATTACGGTATATTTTTCAAATAAGACGGTATATTTTGGTATATTTCTGAGGGTCGGACCGTATATCTTATGGATAAGGTCCAAAACAAAACAAAACAAAACAAAGAGCTTTACGGACCAATGAGCTCCCTGTTTCGTAGCCTCAACAATAGTTTTTCGTCGAAGCGCGAAAATGTCGTGAAGGGAGCGCTGATAAACACTTTGAACGAGAATGCCCGCGAGATCGAGTTTGAGGTCAAGCAGAAGGGATTGGGTAAGTTCTGGGTGCACTCTATGAATCATTGCTAATGTAGGAGGAGGGGACGTCCCACATTTCAGAGGTTGTGGGGCTGTGCGAGCAGACCAGTGCCCTGTGCACCACCTTGGAGGCGGTGTTCCTGCATGGCCTGAAGGACTCGTTCCTTTGGGCCACCTTCAATGTGATTGCGGGCGATGTGGAGCGACGGCCAGATCCCAGCTTCTGGTCCCCCTGCATGGTGTTCATGCACAAGCAGGTGATCGAGCAGATCCAGGGTCTGAGTCAGATCACCTCGGAGATTGGCCAGTGTCGCGCCTGGGTGCGCCAATCCCTCAACGAATCGGTGTTCTCGTCGTACCTTAACGTCATGCGGAAGAATAGCTCTGCCATGTCGCACTACTACAAGCGACACGCTCTGGCCAAGGATGCCGATGGCCTGGAGACGGCTTCCAAGATTATGGAGAGTCTCGAGGCCTACGTCCAGTTCGACTTGCCGGTTAACTCGAGCCTGTTAAACCACTGGCCGGACTACTCTTTGCAGCTATCGGATCTGTGGACGCCTGCCCTTAAATCATGTCCGGTATGCACTGGTCCATAATCTAGTTCATTGTATGGTTGACTATTTTGAATACTTCATTACAGATCAGCAGTGGAGTAGACATAGCCAGCTCCCTGGGCTCCGATATTGTGACCATACCCACCCCACAGCCTCTGCAGACCAATGAGCTCTTCTCGGAGTCCATTTCTAACAGCCCCTTCAGCCGGAGCGGCAACTTCGGAGTGCCGGACTTGAACCAGCGCGAGAACCTCGAACTTCTCATACAAAAGTTTGACGAAATGGACATCATAAACGAGGAACAGTCCCCGCCCGTAGCAACAGCAGAAACGAGTGAAGCTGGAGAGCCAGTGGCTCGTTCGGGGAGCAACCAGAGGTCCCGGAAGCGGTTCAAGCGTCATATAGAAGAGTCCTTCGCCGACCTGGCAGATGAAGAACTGACCAGTCTGCCCCATGGCAGCAATTCCCTGTCCAATCTCATGCAGACCTCCTGGTCCGGCGACCTGGATCTCTCGCCCACGGCCACCGAGCCGTCCGCATCGCGTCTCTTTCAGCGGTCCGTGAGCATGAGCAGCACGAGCAGCCTACGCTCTCCCACCACAGATCGCTGCAGCTACAACGCCCTGCTGCGGAAGCACGAGAACAACCGCGAAAGTGGAGCTGGTTGGTCGGAGATTTGGGAGAAGTTTCGGGCCAGTGCCTCCACTTTGAATGTGGCCCATGCTCAGCGGGAGAGCGAGCCCCCTGTGTCCGACGACCTGAGTGACTTGCAGTCCCTAGATGTAAGCAACATAGAGCCTAAAGCCAACAAACCTTACCGCCTTTCTCTCCGCAGACGAACTCCGAATTTGAGTTGCTCGCCTCGGACTTTGACATGGCGGAGCTGCAGCAGATGGTGGCCCAGCTCTGCCAACTGGCGCGGGAGCCTGGTCTGGATGCCCAGGGATTTCTGTGCAAGAGCTGTCAGCACCCTCTTGGAATAGGCTACACTAACTTTCAGTGAGTGGAACTAAGACGGGAGTTCCATCAATTGAAAAGTTCATCTATTACAGAGTCTGCGCCTTCAGCGGGAATTACTACTGCAACAGTTGCATGGATGTGGAGTCGCAGCTGATTCCTGCGCGCATTATTTACAATTGGGACTTTCGCAAGTACAGCGTCAGCAAGCGGGCGGCCACCTTCCTAGCCGAGTTTAGGTCGCAGCCATTTCTGGACATGCAGCTGCTAAATCCCAGCATTTACTTTGCCTCCGATGCAATGGCCGAACTCCAGTCGTTGCGCATTCGGCTCAACTTTATACGCGCATACCTTTACACGTGTGCGCCGACCAGCATTGAGCTCCTGCACAATTTCTTCTGCGGCCGGGAGTACCTTTACGAGCATATACACCAGTACTCGATAGCGGATCTGGGTCTGATTCAGCGGGGCGCGCTGTGCCAGCAGCTGCAGAAGGCTTTCAAGATGGGCGAGGCGCACGTACTTAAGTGTCGTCTGTGCCAGCTGAAGGGCTTCATCTGCGAGATATGCCAGAGTCCTAGGGTACTCTATCCCTTCCACATTAGCACCACATTTCGGGTATGCTAGTCGTCCCTTTCTTTTCGCCGACTGTTTTCATTGAATGCCTAATTTCAGTGTCTGGCCTGCGGTGCTGTATTTCATGCGGAGTGTCTTAACGAGCAGCAGCCATGTCCCAAGTGCGAGCGACGACGCAAGCGCGAGGATCAAGGCCTCCAAGAGGCCGTGCAAACCCTCAAGGAAAAGCATGAGACGGCCTAGGATAAAATCCGATAGTTTTGTTAACGAATAAGTTTGTAAAAGTGCGATATATTATTATGGCTAACCCCAAGAAAGGCTTTACTTTACCTTTAAACTAGATTTAAGTGCTTTACTGTTATGTTATGGCTTGTCTTGTCAGCATTTGCACACACTTTACTCAAATATCCACTATATACACATACATATATACTCGTTTATATAGTAGATATCGATTGACTTGCCGCGTTCGTTGCGTCAACTTTGGGCCAAGCCAATGACAAGTTCAAAGTTTGCTCAAAGTTTTCGGAATGATTTTGGAATTTATTTATCTGATAACTGCAATGATTCTGATTCGGATGCTGAATAAAACGTTATGTTAAATGCTGGTTAATACTTCTAGTGACATCATGTCTAACAACAATAATTGAATTCAATAATAATAATAGTAATAATAATATTTGTGTAGAGCAGTTCTCGTATTACATTCTATTCTGTATACATTCATACAGTATGTATGGCCAAAAAGATTTAACAAATGTTCACCAATTGCGGATAGATCTTAGATTAGATACTTGAGAGAGATTTTATCACACAAATCTGGGTATTACCACTAGTTTCATTAGACTCTAAAATGGTGACAAATGTATGACAAGATTCGTTGAAATGCTCTCAGTTGTGCTTCGATTAGGTATTGCATCTAACCTTCTTCGTTTTGTGTGTGTTGCACTAGAGTCTAGACTCTAGAGGCTCTTCAAGTATCCCAGTGCAGAGTATTCCATTCCCCCCTCCAAGTATTCGAGTATACTCGTATCTATATTAATTAGTTGTGTTGTTGCTGGGTTTTAACAGGTTCAGTCTAGTAAGATATTCATATAGAGGCGCTCCTAAATACAATACAATCGTATTGAAACATACAGAGATACAATGCATATACTTATAAAAGATTTGCTGGCTGCTATATTGCTGTTTTCATAATTTTACTAACTTTAGGTGCTATTTCCTATATACAAAACGAACAACTATGGTTAAGGATTGGCTTGCTTGCCAAGTGCTGCCAGGGAAGACGCTACAGAGAGTTGCGCGCAAAAATTGGGATTCGATTCGTTCCCTCAGAAGAGTGGTATTTGGTATTGTTCCACTTTTATTTGATCAACCTTTCGTAAAATTTAGTACAATCACTCCGCACCGTGCCACACCGTATATCCGCATTATGTACAACTCATGGGCAACGATATGGATCGTCTCAGCAGACCGTCGAGTTGCGCGCCACACTTCCCGCCGCCTGTGATTGGGGTCGAACGGAGGAGGAGGCACTACCGGCCGTTCCGGCTACTCCGCCGCCGTACAAGAAACTAGATTGCCGTATTACGGACACTGTGGCAGCGGCCACGCCTGCCTGAGGCGGTGGTGCAGGTGCCCGATGCTTCTTCAGTGGTGCATAGGCTGGCTTCAGTGCTGGCGGCAGTGTACCTCTTCCCACCGGAGCCATTGAATTGGTATTTATGCTGGCATTGTTGTTGCAGACAGCCGAAATGTTGTTGTTGATGCTGTTGTTGTTGTTGCTAGGCGTCTGGGCGGCAGCTGAAGTGTGAGAGAGACAGAGAGAGAGGGAGAGAGGCAGTGGGGAGAGATATATTTAAAAAAATGGATAGATAGCGCAAGATATAGAGAGATAGATCAATGGGATCGATATGGTGATATCTTGATCAATGTTTGCGCAGGCAAAACTCCAACGAAGCATACAAATGATAAACGGAAAGGAAAGAAAGGAACTGCCACAGGTGTAAATGCAGTGGAAAGAAGAGCTCAAAGACGTCACAAATGAAGAGAAACACAAAACAGGTGACGAAAGGAATGCAAAACTATATGACATACTTCGGTATATCAGAAGGAGCCACTGAAGATAACAACCAATACAAAAATGAAGTATAACGGACAGCGAACAGTGGAACACCTGTAGCTCTTTTCTGTTTTATATATAAATTATAATACAAAACAAATGAAATGGTTTACATGTTGATGTAAATCCAATCGAATTTTGGTTTATTGTTCCATCCAAAAGATAACTTTAAAATTAAAACAAACAATTATACTCGTAGTGTGCCTGTTACTAGAACTAAAATTCATCGCATCGGATGTCGGATATACATAATATGTGTGTGTATGCCTATGTATGCATATGCATTTAGAGATGCGCGTGCAGATAGGTAAGATATATAAAAGATATGACGGGAGTGGAGTACAATTAAAAAGAATGCGCTACATGTATTTCAAATGTGTTGTGTGTGGATGGATTGAGGGGGAGGGGGATACGGTGGTATATGGAAGGACTTCTCTTTACATACACACACATAGTACATATACATATATACGGGATATGTCTATAGCTATGCGTAATAATATTGTGTGTGCTTAGTGGTAATATCGCGTTTCGTTAACATATTTTATGGAGATGTCGATCGTATCTGATCTTCATCTCCCTATCTTCTTCATCTTGTGAAATTTAACAAACTTTAACATTAGATGGTATAAGAAAGATAGTGTTTGGATAAAGCTATTCAACTTCAGTATTATGCAATATACAAGATAACATTCTTCGCTTCGACTGCTTCGGCAGCCAGCCAGCTTCTTCTACTCTCTATACATTCATTATTTATTGGCTCGTTAACAGTAAAATAAAACAACAATAATCCAAAAAAGATTCCTAAAACTGCCCTGGTTATTATAACATCTGTATGCATTTTCATGTGTTTGTTTCTTTGTGTTCGATTGGATGGGTTTTCAGTGTGTTAAACAATAATAATCATAATCATAATAGTAAGTAATACATGTTTAAAATAATATATATATAGCATGAGTTGTATGTATAAAAGATAAGAATCGTTGTATGCGAAATGACAGAGCATGTGCCTTAAGAAACAATTACATAATTATATAACAGCATTGCATTCCATGTGTGTATATAAGAATAAACGCAGTTACATAAACATATACATATGTGTATGTGGTTGTGTATCTCTATATACTATACACATGTATTTAAAGCACTCACAGAACAGACACACCCACACACACTCACACGCTCACAGACGACTACATACCGTTGCTCGCCTTAAACGTTCGACTAGGATAGATTTTTTGTATATTAAGAAACGGCGGCGGCTTGGGGAACTCGGTCACGTTGTGGAATCGCTTCCCGAACTTTGTCTCCAAATCGATGACCAGGCGGCCCACAGTTGCACATCCTGCTCCTCCTCCTGCCGACAGTCCTGAATTGCTGCCAAACTGATGCGAGGCGTTGGCCATGTGCGTGGGTGGAGTCAGCGGGGCATTGGGCCGTATGGATGAGTGACGCTGTGGCGGCACTGGCGCTCCAGCACCCGAACCTGATCCGGATCCAGCCTGCAAGATGGAGAGAGGAGAGCGGAGTCAGTTATGTGGCTTTTGATACCGTGAGTATCGTGGGTAATCTCGGACAACTCTAGTTACGTTGCGCTTGCCGTGGAGCATCAGCATTTTGATAACCTTGAATGGTGGGCGGCTGTGGCAGTAGTTCCGTTTCAGATATTTGCTAAGCGAGAACAGCCTCTTGAACAACCAGTGCTTCACTCGAACATTCTGGGAGAAGGCATCAATGAGAGCTCGGCCTTTCAGTGGACAAGCAATGGACCGAAAAACAAAGCGAATGGAGGGTCGTGTGTCGTGTGTTTTGGTCACGTCTCACATTTGGAAAATCAATCTCCCCCACCTCCCCCTCCCTTTGGCACGAAAATAGGTGAGTTATAAAAAGTACGACTGGCGTGCCCCAAAAAGTGCGCAGCCAGGAGCTGCTCGGAGAAGCGCCTGCGCAGTGAGAGTAAGCTCTGCACTGCGCAAAAAGCAAACGTTCTTTGGGATAGGTTATGGCCGTGACGCTGTGACTGATTTGAACAGGTGGAACCCCAATAGCAGAGACAGCAGAGAGAATCCATACCCGTCACGATCTCATCTCTCTGGACAGTAGCTCACGAGCTCCGCTCCTTATATCTGTTCCAAGTCTGTTCTGCGTGGTGGAGGCCAGCCAACTGTCACCTTTGCCATTTGGGGCAACCTGTTGTTGTTGTGTTGCTGGTACTGATACTGCTACTCTGGCTACTTGGCTACTCACAGTGCTCGATTGTCGCTGCGGCGGCGGTGGAGGCGGACAGCTGCGGTGCGGCGGCGGGGCTGGTGGATTGATGATGGGTCCCCCATTCAGTATGATTGGCCGGACGGTCGAAGACTTGGGGCTGGCCGTAGTCGATGATGAGGCCGACGACACTGATGCTGGGGTAGGCAGCGGCGGCAGCGGTGGCGAGGAATTCCCATTCCCACCGTTCATACCATTCATACCGTTCCCGATGCCAACCGCACGGAACTGGTCACGCAGGGCGGCCACGCTGCTACTGCTACTCGAAGTGGAGGGCGGTTGGGTAATGGGAGTCGAAGGGGCCTGAGTCGTAGTCGCCGCACTCTGCACCAGGGCCGTGTTGACGGCACTTAACGGCGCTGCAGATGATCCAGCTCCGATGTTGCTCAGATTGCTGTTGGAGAAGCTCCGCGCCGGTGTTGGCGGAGGTGGAGGCTTCACCGATGGTCGTGCTACAGGAAGGAGGAGGAGGAGGAGAGACATCATTCCATTCTTTCATCATGGCGATTTTCTTTGAGGTACTCACACTTTGGTGGATTGGGGGCACAGCGCATGCTGGCGACGCTTCCGTCGATGCCCTGCAGCTGGAGCGGAGCCCGCATCGTCCCAAAATGCTGGAGGGTGGGAGGCAGCATAGGCCCAGACGCTGGCGGAGATCTGTGGAGGAGGCAGAGACCCATATTAGTAGCGCTTAGGGTAATAGTCGGGGCTATAGCCAGAAGTCAATGCAAATCGAAAGCCATAAAGATAAGCAAAAGCAAAACCCAAACTATATCAATGGATTGACTGACTGGAGCGTGGGGTGACTGAAGCAAGCGGTGTGCATACTTAGCTAGGGTTTACTGCACCGTAATGTACTCTATACCTAGGCGACTTCATGCTGTGGTGCCGCGTCACCGCCGGACGCTGCTGCCCGTTAACCAGAATCAACTGCTGGAGCCCCGGCGGCTTTGGTGCAAAGTTCGGCTTGCCAAAGCTGATGGCCGGCTTCTGCTGCTGTGACTGAATCTGTGTTTGCGTATGGGACTGCGCTAGAGATGGCAACGGTGTGGGCGTGGCCGTGGATGGAGGCGATGTTTGCTGTGAACCACCACCACCAATAGAAGAACCAGCACCACCGAACAAAGTTGACTTATTGGGCGCCAGGTTGCGTAGCGATCCTGCCGAGGACGTTCTGCTCGAGTTCAGCGACGTCGTGGAAGCACTCGCAGTGGTTTTTGCCATCGAACTATTTACAAAACTATTCCCTAACGAGATACTGTGGATACCATGGATAGCGTCGTTTGTAGTTTGTATTTGTGATGGGTGTGTGGTGTGGTGTGGTTTGGGTGAGTGGGTGGTTGGGCGGGTGGGATAGGAAGATAACCACGAATGCCCGGCAAAGAAATCCACCCGAAAATAAAGAAAGAAAATGTGGAATTTTAACAAAAGTTTCAAAAATAAAAAAAAAATAAAAAAGAGTATCAAATGTCGGAGGTGCCGGACTGCTGGTGGATCCAAGCATAAACTTACTTCAGATTGCCCGCCTTTCTCTTGACGCTGCCACTGCTGTTGCTGCCGCTCTCCGAGAGCGTGGGCGAGGCAGCTTTGACGGCGGCAGCTGGTGGCAGGGCAGCGCGGGGTGCGATATTCATGCGCTCCAATATCGAATCACTTGAGTTGGTTTGCTGTGATGGCGGTAGAGAACAACAGATGGATTAGATATTATTATTTTTCTTGGGAGCTCTTCAAATACGAATTCTAGCTAGAGAATATTCACATGTCAATGCTCCTGAACTTCTACTGATTCCTATACAGGCTTTCTATTGTTTTCCAAAGATCAATCGTTCCTCTCTCACAAATAACGCTCTCTTCTATAGAAGTACTTTGAACAGCATTCGTGTTTTCACTCTTAACATCTATCCCACTCCTCCTCCCTAATTACTTTCATTAATATGGTGAGATCTATATTTAAACACTCTGCCGTCTGTGGGTCCATCCGTACATGGCTGCCTTGCCCTCACCTTTGGCGGTTGCGGTGGAGGTCCCCGATTTGTTTTCAGATTTGCTTCTGTGGCATTGATATGCTGGGTGCCGCTGGGTGCTTGCGGCGATTGTTGCTGCTTCTGCTGCGCCTTCTGGCGCTTCAATGTTAGGTGCATGGCCAGCTCTGTATTGAAGTCCATGGGTCCGTTGCTGGATGCGGCAGCGGCAGTGACGGCTGTAGGGGGGCTATGGCTTCGTTGCTGCTGCTGTGCTATTGCGGCCGCTGCTATTCCGGCTGGTGGTTGTGGAGTCGCTGCTGCTGCTGCTCCGGCTGCAGGTGCGTGTGCGTTGGCGGAAAGCGGAAATCAATTGAGCATCGAAATATATAATTTGAATTAACATTTGTGAACCTACTGCGATAGCCATTCACGGGCTTTAGCTTCGGCATTTGCGAGTAGCCTTCGAACAGGCCCCCCAATTTGGGGGCTCCATTGCCAAGGCCGTTGCTGCTGCTGCTGCTACTACTGCTGTTGTTGTTGTTGTTGCTGGTGCTGGTGTTGTTATTGAGGGTTCGCTTGGCGCCTCCAACTCCCGCTCCTGCTGCGGCATCTGCTCCACATACCTTCCCCGATATCGCCGGTCCGCTCTTGTCCACGGTGTTCGTCTTGCGGAGCTTGGTGCCCTTCTGGATGGAGCTGAGGAGGGCAGAGCGGGGATCTGCACCACCTTTGCCTCCACCGCCGCCCAGCTTCAAGCCGCCCATGGCCGGGGGTGGCGGGGGCCCTGGCGGTGGCGGTGGTCCCGGTGGTGGCGGTATGGCCATCTGCAATTCCAAATATAACGATTTTTGGGGTTAATTTTGTTGCTCCTTTAGAGCTACATATTCTTGATTTATGTTTAGAGCAATTCTACTTTTTTGTTAGAGCTTTTCTTTAGTCTCATTCTCGCTTTTGATCAGGTCTTCCCTTCTGGTCACAATCTCTGCGTCTGCCTCGTCGGGGCATTGGCTCAAGACTGGCTCTGCTCTGCGTCGAGAGACTTCCAAAGCGGAGGTACCGCGGAGACCGCTGTCGCCACCCACACGCCGCAAACAGACTCACAAAACAGACACAGACATGCTCCAACACAGAGATTTAATAATACAATTTCTATACTTATTATTTTATTTATTATTTATTTATGTCGTGTTTTGTTTTGTCTTTTCTAGAGATTGACGCCTCGATAGCCAGCAGCCAGCGACGGCGAGCAGCAGCATTCCCACGCACCGAAGCCTGCAGTGCTCTACGGATGCGAATGGAGCAGTCCATAGATTTGATATATCAAAGATTTGATGTACTCTCTGGGACTGGGAAGGGTATTAGCCAACATAAGAAATTTCAAGCTCAAGCGGCGCGTGAAGCTGCAGAGTTTGACAGGAACTGGACCGGGCAGACATCCCACATCTCCTTCAGCCGGAGGCCATCCCACGTGATCTGTGCAGATCTTACAATACGTGTATGGGTGTTGTCGCGATGCTCTCTTAATATATTATAGGCGAAATCGAATAGCCCCAACAGTTATCAGGAAATTATAATCAAAGCATTTCCATAGCTCGACTGATAAGACGGGGGTTTCTTCCGTTTCTTCATGTGATTTCCATATAATGTTCTGTAAATAGGAATTCTCAATCAATTCGAATAGATTCATTGGAAATTCCGATTCAATATTTAATTCCACTATGAAGTTCGCCATTTGGTGCACACTCTGCTTCCTGGCCGTTCGTCTCCGTCTCTCGGAGGTAAGTCCACAAACCAAAGAAAAAGTAAAACTTTAATGAATAGGCATCCCCAACAGTCGTTGGATTTGGTAGAACAATTGGAGGCCATCTATGAGAAGGCAGATACGTTGCTCTCCAGGTATGCTTTCACAGAATAATGCTACACTGAAGAATGAACCACAGCCATTCTACAGATTGAAGGAAGAACTGCAACAGCACACGAATAGAGCCCAGAAAAGCATCAACCTGCTGCTTCCCACATCCTGCCTGACGGCAGCAATCGACCAAAACGGTTTGTACACCATAGAGGTCCCGGGACTGAGTCCCTTTCCCGTGTTCTGCGAGTCTCAATTGGCAGGACTTGGGTGGACAGTGATACAGCGACGCACCAACGGGAGCCTAAACTTCTTCCGGAACTGGGAGGAGTACAAGCAGGGCTTTGGGGACCTCGAGGGAGAGTTTTTTCTGGGACTGGAGAAGGTGCGCGCCCTGACGGCCCTCGAACCTTTCGAGCTCTACGTCCACCTGGAGGATTTTGATGGGGAGCGGAGGCACGCGAGATTCGACGAATTTGCCCTCGGCACAGAGGAGGATGCGTATGCGATGAATGCTCTGGGCAGATACACGGGCACGGCCGGAGACTCCCTTCGATCGCACCGCAAGATGAAGTTCTCCACATACGATCGGGACAACGATCGGGAGTTCACCAAGAACTGCGCCTTCTACTATCTGGGGGGATGGTGGTACAATGCCTGCCTCGATAGGTACGTTTTTCTTTTATCTTAAGTGCATTTATAGTACAATCATCTCATGCGAGTATATATTTATGATCTCTAAAGCAATCTAAATGGCCAATATATCCAGGGCGGCAAGTACGAGGAGAAAATGTTCGCCCGGGGCATGTGCTGGCGCTCGTGGCGTGGCCACAACTACGGCTATAAGGTAACCCAAATGATGATAAGACCCAAGTGCCGAAATATTCCAAAGCCATGACTCACGCGAGAGACAGCGGAGGAAGAGGAGGAGCGGGTTTTCAATGAATAAAATATTTTATTTTCATAATGGCTTGAAGATCAGTCAGTGTGGAACGGAGAGTCGTAAACAATTTGCATGTACTCGATTAATATGCGAAATGTGGTTTCATTGAATCATCATCGAATCACCAGGCGAATTGGCTGAGAATATAAATCAGATTCTTATATAGAACATATCATTGAAATCATGGTCTAGTATATAGGTAGTTTTACCAACTTCCTGATAGATTATCGCGCCGAGCGAGGGAAACTTGACCTACGAATCGGAATGAATTGATAAGGCAATCGATTGAAAATCGTTTTGTAAATGTTATAGAACATCTATCTCCCCAGTCTAATAGATTGATAGAATCGAGTCAGAGAGGACAGAATCATGGAGCTATACTGGATTTCCATTTCTATATTGAGTTTTTACTTCCACCATTCCGATGGCAGTCGGAGTAATTTCGCAGTTGCTTACGAGAAACCAGAGGCAGTGCTTGCCAGCGTAAGATCTCAAATTGAGGAGCTCAAACAGATCTATGGAGCGGTAGTCGCACAGAATATGACTCAGGAGAGTGAGTAGAAAGGCTTCATTTACAGGAATTCATGCATTGATCTCTCCTCTGCTGTCAGCTGTGGCCTATCCGTCATCCTGCCTGGCTGCCTCCACTAACACAAACGGGGTCCACACCATAGAAGTTCCCGGACTGGAGCCCTTTCCCGTCTTCTGCGACACTCGAGTGGCGGGATCGGGCTGGACAGTGATCCAGCGGCGCCAGGACGGCAGTGAGAACTTCTATCGCAGTTGGGAGGAGTATGCCCAGGGCTTTGGCGACTTCAGCGGAGAGTTCTTCATGGGTCTGGAGCGACTGCACTTCCTGACGGCGGCCGAGCCCTACGAGCTGCTCGTACACCTGGAGGACTTCTATGGCGGTACCCGTTACGCGAGGTACGAAGACTTTGTGATTGGCAATGGCTCCGCCTCGTATCCGCTTGCGGTTCTGGGCAGGTACTCGGGGGATGCCGGAGATTCGTTGAGCTACCACAGGGGGATGCCGTTCTCCACCTTCGACCACGATGTTCTGGGCCACGGGTGTGCCATCACCTACGTGGGGGCCTGGTGGTACGACGATTGTCAATTCAGGTGAGGGAGGAGCTCTGTCTAAACACTTCTTTGGAGACTAATTTCCATCGGTTCTATTGGGTTTCAGCAACCTGAACGGACAGTACGTGGATGGGGGTAGGTACGAGGCGAAGCTCTCGGGCCGCGGCATCTGCTGGATGACCTGGATGGGCTACGACTATGGCTATAAGGTCAGTCAGATGATGATACGGCCTAAGTGCTCCAATAGCATACAAAGGCATAGGAACAGCAGGCAGAGCCTCAATTTCAGTTGAATTCCAGCTCCAATCGAATTTGAATCGTTATTTTTGGTGATAAACTTTATCAGCATTTACGCTTTTATTTACATTTTGATAAGTTTTCACTGTTGCTTTTTTGGTTTTGTTTTGATTTATTTTTATTTTCGGGTTTCCGCACACACAAACGACAAAAACAAAAGTAATTCTTTTAATATGAGTGAAACACGCGTTGCTCTCCGCTCGCGGCTCGGATTCGAAATGAAGAACTTCAACGGCTGCGCATGCGATGCCCCAACTTTGGGCCCCAAGCAAAGCCAGAGAGAGGGAGAGGACACTTTTTTCCATTGTGTGCGTCAGTACAGGGTGTTGTATACACAGAGAGCGCACTCACGACAAGCCTGAGAACGAGTGTACCGCGTTATAACTGTGAGTTTAACGAAGACGACGACGAGAGAGAGCGAAGAGAGCGTGTGGGTACAATTATAAAATTAGCTGTTAAGGTCGCTGAGGACAGCCAGCTGTGACGTCACAATTAACCAATCAAGTTTTGCGATATGCAAAACCGCAGGCACCACCAACAAAGCCAGTGACAAATGCACACACGCAAGACAGCAACACAGCAGATAGACAGATAGAGCCAAGCGCATACACGCAAGACTGGGAGAGAGACAGACAGAAGACAGACAGACAAAGAGAAACTGCGATTGCATCCCCAGCACCTGTCATCAACGTTGTAAACCGATGATCTCCTCCAGATGCCAGATGGGGAATGAGAGAATAAGAAAGAGACGCAGAAGAAGCAGCAGCAAAAAACGCTTAACCGTAAGCTTAGCCTTGTGCGTGAGTGTGAGTGTGAGTAGAAACGTGCGAAATATTTTGTAGACTCGACTCATTAAAGTGGCACAGTGGGACAGGTCCAGTGCAAACCTGGCCAGTGGCCATTCCTCAACTACTGTCCACTCTCAGAGCGATCCCCGATGCACAGCACAGGGGAATCTGCGTATGATTCATTGCGATTGATTCACCCAGTCGGATTGCCGCTTAATTGAACAGCTGCTGACGCTACTGTGTCTGGAAAATGGCCCCCAGTACCCGGAGAAACCGTTGTCCGTATATACAGTATCTAGGGATGTGGTGGTGGGCACGAGAATGATTTCATTTCAAACGAAGAACAAATGAAGTTGTTTTACTCATTTAAATTCGGCATAACCCGTTGAGTCGGAATGTTTGCATGTTTGATTATGATATCCACAGTACAGTTACATATGCTTGATGACTCCACATGGCAGAGGGTAGAGGCATTCCCTCTATGGATTTCCTTATGGGAAATTTTTGGGTATCGAAAAACACTCAAACTTGATTAAATATTAACTCAAACGATGCATGACTCATGGGCGTGTGCGAGTTCGCTGGAAATTAAAGGTATTATACCCCAGGTATTTCTACAGTTTCTCTATCTTATCTTTATCGCGGCGGGCATTGCTTTTTGGCTCGGTGGTGGTTCTGGGGTCTGGTTGCACACAAATGTCAATGGTCATATTCTATGTGTATAGTCGTATCCGTTTAAGATTAAGATCCGCTAATCATTCTGATCAATTGTTCCATCCAACATATAGTATATATGTACATACATATGTACATATGTGTGTTCCAATAATATTCGATAGGAAAGGTTCAATGATTCGATTTGTCTTGAGGTATTTCTCTGCTGATAGTATGTTCGATCATGAGTCACTCCACTCCTAAACGTTGCCATAAAAAATGTAATAATTTGAGGTCCGGTCTAGCTCCGCTCCTCCCTGCGTTACAATTTGGCACACATTCAATTAACGTTTTCGAGGTGTGCCTTCCGGGGTCTTCATCCCCATTCTCATTCCCATCCCCATCCCCATCCCCATCCGAGCATGCTTTGGATTGCCCCAATAAACTGTCATCAAGTTAATTGCCCCAAATGTCCGTATAAACAAGGGCGTGTGTGTCTGTTATGTTCCCCCGATCTCAAGCGGGAGGAATGGACATCGAATCAAGTTGAATCAAATCGCGGGAATCATCACCATTCCGTTCTTTACGGCATTCCATTCGCGGCACACGCACACACAAAAGCCGACAAATTGCCATTGGACGGGGACTGTCCAAAATGTATATCCATTATGTAAGTCAAATATTGTGTGTTAAATGCTTAACACGCCTATTGGAAATACTACGCTGTAAGACAATATCCAGACACCGCAAACGTTGCGTAAGTTCCCCCTTTCCCCCCCGTATCAGCGACAAGGTGTCCACCCAATCCGATACGACCCAAACGAAGACAAACCGAACCAAAGCAAAACCAAAGCAGAGCATGGCGAAAAAGCATAATCAAATGTGTGGCAACAACGCTTAAGAGACAGTTTAGTCAACAGACAGTTTAGACAGTTTAGTTCTCTTAACGATGGCAATTTTTTGAGGTTTTTCATTGTGTTTTCTTCTCTTCTTTAGCTTTTCCTTCTTTTGGCATATCATTTTGTTTACTTGGCAATTTCCGCAAAAGTTTCTTTGGTGTTTACATTTCGGTTTTTATGAATGATTTCAAAATTAGATATGCTACGTTGAACCACTAAATTCTAAAGAGAGAATTTCTAGTTTCGGGGGAACCACAGAAAATTAAGATCCTGTGCTATATCTGTCCTATATGTATCTGTCATTCTGCATTTTATTGTGATTCATCTTACAAGACGTATACATACATATGTACATATATGTATGTATGTGATATATATTTATTCTATGGTCCATATCTAATCTAAAGTTTCCTTTCACTTCATTTGGTCAAGCAAACATCTCTCTGAATCAGAGTCTGAGATGGAAATGTTAATTTCACAGTGATTCATGCGGTGTGGTCTCTGTTCTGAGCGATTCTTGGTGAATATAATCCACACCATATATGTATGTACATTTATTTATTCGGATTTATATACATAGGTACATACATATTTATGTACATATGTACGAGTATGCACAGACTTTCGCTTTTAATTTCTTTTGTTTCTTCTGCCGATTTAGCTTCGGCTGCCTCAAGTTCCAATTACACAGCCAAAACCGTTGGACTAACAATTAACATATACATTTCAATTGCAAGTCGTGCAGCAAGTTGTGTGGCTCTTGATCATCATGGCTCAATGCACAGGTAGAGGGGGATGGACGGGGTGTGGGACTGGTCAGCATTTCATTGAAATTCCAAGAGCTACGCCACATGATTATAATACTCGTGTGTGATCGCAGTGCAAAGCACATCCAGAGCCGAAAACGCAGAGACAACACGCTCCACACACCATTTCTTATGCCAAATATTTTTGATCAGTATACAAGGCAGAGTTTGACGTAGAAACATTTTGGTGAGTAAAGTATTCGAAAAGAGTGAAAAACAATGGGGATCAAACGGAAATAAATCTGCAAGTTATTCCGAATTCGGGTGAATGTCTGTTTCATGGATTCTTTCTGATTACCAGATGCCTATTTCGAACTATGTATATGTGTCTGAGTCGGACTCAGAGAGCATCAACCTTCCGACAACCTTGGGTCGCTTGCAGTTCAAAGTACATCCCATACATACATACATAAACAAATTTGTACATACATACATAACATATATTTCATGTGACACACAAATTTTTAGACACACTGCGTTTTGAATTTCTGAACTTCTGATCTAAGCGTTTCTCCGGGCATCATTTTGCATGCATCATTGGCAGCCTCTTCCCGTCCTCTGCTGCTGCTCGTCCAGCGACTCGCTCTTTATATTTGCACCTACCTCTGTATCTATGTACCTGCCTTCAGCTCTTTAGTAAGCCCCTCTCTTGGCAAGAGTGTAATGACGTAAGGAACATATTCACTTACAAAAACAAGAGAAACTATTCTTTGGACGCCGCAGCGTTAGATACTTTTTCAGATCGATCGTTTCTATTGCAGCTGTATGGGTTTTCCTCTTCCAAAAAAATGTTTGCTTAAAATAGAAGTACCCTGTGCAAGGGTATATAACAAAACACAAAGTCAGATCAAAATTGCATTGTTGCACTTGTTGTAGTAGTAGTTGTTGCTGCCGCTGCTGTTGCTGGGGATGAGGTTTATTAAAATGCGGTTTTCAGCCCCGTCGCACAATGCTTAAATAACTAACGCAAACACATGACGATGAGTGGAGAGGAGAGAGGAGAGCAATGCAAAGTGAAGCCGCGACAGCAACGCCACTCAATGACAACAACGGTGTTGGGTTCGGCACTTTGCATACACTTATACACCCAAACGCATGTGACAACAACAAGAATGATGTAAACCAACTCAAACACGAGCCGTGAGTGAGTCATCCATCCTCCCACCCCCCACATGCTCCGAGTTGCATTGAGGAAGCAAAAGGCCAACCGTCTCTCAGCATGAGGGAATTGCAGTTAAAGTGAGGACACGATCCACATATCATTATGGAAAGGAGGGACTCTTTAAGTCCCTTGCGGCCGAGTCTCTACTGTGCTTTCACAATTCAGTTCCAGCTTGCACAAGGAAGTATCCCGCATAAATCAGAGAATCAACGAGAGAGAGTAAATATAATCGTTACAGCTACGTGCCAATCAAACTTCAATGTGGGGGAATGAATGATGCAGTCCACAAAACATGCACGGCAACAACCACATTTGGCTGACAAATGGCCGCCCGCAAGGCTGACAAAAGCTCTCCCGGTCAGGCGGTACTCGCGGCCCTCTCCCCTTCCATACGATCTATTCATGTGTCATTCCAGCAGCACTCGATATGCATGTATATATGTATACACCTTTTTATGCTCTGGCCGTGATTTTTACGTGTATACGTGTATTTGTATCTGTGTGAACAGAGGGGATAATAGGCTCAACAATAGACTGGCAGTCTCCTGTCCTGCCTTACCCCCCGCCAATGACATTGAACTCTCGTCTGAGTGACGGCGGCGGCTGGTGCTACTGCTGGTGGGGCCTTTTGAGACTCTTTCCTGCCAACTCTGATGGCCATACAATTATTCAGCTGCAAAGAGTATTCGACATTTCAACGGAAAGGAGTCCAATTTTTGAATCACTGTTGGGTGTACTTCTCGGTCTCATCAAATTGAGCGTTTCCCTGACAAATAAGACTCGCAGCTCTGGAAAAAAGTGTAAACCCACCCCTAAATGTACATATTTATGTAGTTTCGCGGCAGAGCAGACGGCGTGCAATGTACTCTTTGTAGGTCAGTGATGGGGCTGCTTGGCGCTGGGGTGTGGTATGCATGGGTATGCCTGGTTCTGGTTGCAGACGACGTCGCCACCGCTTTCGTCATGCGTCGCGTGCCAGGCGTTTTGCTTAATGTGATTAAAACAAACGCGACAGACAGCCAACAAACAAGTAAAGTGCAGTCGGTGCTAAAAGAAAAATCAAAGAAGCTAAAGTTTGTTGCACCCTTACGAAACGTTGGTTGGGTAGGGAGCCAGATCTAAAACGTTTTTTATGTTCCTTTGCACTCGGCGAATCCTAACGGACAACTAGAACTTGCATTCAAATGTAGGCGCATATAATTGACTGGGTGCTATTTGGTTAGAGGGCTATAAGATAAGGAACCCCATTCTCTGGTTCCCTGGCTTGCATTCCATAATTTATGATATCTTATACCGTTGCTGCTAGGCCAGAGAGATAAGCTTTATCAATAACTCTACAATTTGCAAATACAGCTGCTCTGCATATTGGTGTATGTACATGAATATGTGTACGAACATGAGAATGTGTGAATGTATGCAAAGAACGGGTTAAACAAACAAACTTACCTTGAAGCGGGTTTCGGATTTAAGTTGTTGCTGCTTTCTGAGTGAAATTCTCGTCCGATTCGATTGTCGGTGATTTGATATTAGTTAATTCTATTTGTCTCAGAGGGAAGGGAAGTGGAGAATACAGGTTCCAAAAGAGTTTTCAGAAGACGCGGGCTTCTCTTTCACGCAGGAATTTGTAATGTGTTTTGGGCAAACGGATGATCGCGAATAAATGCAAAGGTTTAGTGTAAAAGAAGCCGAAAAAAACTACAATAAATAACAAATTTGACTATTTTTTTGTGGTTTTACCCAAACACACGCACACTACACCAGAACTCTCACTCACATCACGCACACAACCACATAAAGAGCAATCAGCGCCTAGATTTGTATTATTACTTCGTTTCCCGCTGCTCGTTTTCTTAGCACATCTCGCTATGATTGTTGCCTGGGCGAGGGACTAACGCTGCAACATTTTTATGATCTGCGAATCTATGGATTTTCGTTGCAAACTTCGAGAAGCAACAAAATTTACTTGACTTGGCTGCTAGAGATGGACTGTGGAAAAATTTCACGAGCTTCCCTGTGATATTTCACTATCGAGTGCTAGAGGTGAGAAAACATCGATATTAATTTTATAATCAACAACAGCATCAATATTGAGAAACTGCCACCACCAGCGATCAGCTGTCGCACTGCCAACTCAAGCCATGGGGAAGCTCTCTCTCCTATTCAGCTGGGTTCTAAAACATTGCATCTTTTAGCTTCGGGCCCGAGTCGCTTGCAATGAGCGTGTGAAGCTGGCCTGCAAGCTGGTAGAAGTCACAGCGCTGGCCCTGGACCAACAGTCCGATATGATCTACTATGCCCATGGCAAGTGAATCGATGGAAAGAACAAGTAAGCAACAAATATGGGCATCCTCTGGACATATGTGTAATCCTCTGTTCCCTCTCTACAGAAAAACCCTTGTTTCCATGCACATCTCGCAAGTAATCTTGCATTGCCGCCTGGGGGGGTTTTGTGTACTGACTGGACGACAAGACCGGACTGGAGAAAGAGCGTTGTTCCGCGGAGCTGTAGCGTATGCAGCAGATCAACGACATCACTGCCGTGTGGACCACGGATGCACAGTCGCACCAAGTGCTCCAAGCATCTGATGCTGCTGGAGGACAAGGAGAATTGCGGCGCGTACCCGGCCTATGAGCCAGATCATTTCACGTGCGCGGCCCCAGTGGCGGGGAATAGTGACATGAACAAGGACTGCATACCCGCCTCCTGACGCGGTGAAGGCCAAAAGGACTGCCCAGACAAGTCCGATGAGGTGGGCTGTCCCACCTGCCGGGTGGATCAGTTCAGCTGCCAGTCCGGCGAGTGCATCGACAAGGCCCTGGCCTGCGATGGTACCACCAACTGTGACAACGGCCACGATGAGGTCGACTGCTGCAAGCGGCTAGGAGAATTTCAGTCTCCCATCAACAAGGTGAGTGGAAAGACACGATATCTGCCAAAATATCTAAAAATCACTGCATACTGAAATGTATTCTCGCAGTGAAGCACGCCGTAAAGCATGCCCTTTTAAAGAATTTAAAAATTCAATAGAGAACCTGCTGGACATTGCATTCGAGGTGCAACGCGACCAAGCTGCGGATGAAGATGGAGCGAAAAGACTCTGGACGAGTGTGCCAGGTTACCACCTTCCACAATGCCGTCTACAAGGACCCCAGGTCCGAAGACGATACTGCAGCGGAGTATAATCCGGTGAAACAGTCCAAGAGCTCGAGAGGCATCGGGATCTGTGTGCGTCGGACCAGACAGCTCGCCTACTTGCGTACCCAGCCGCGAGTAAAGTGAGGAGCTCAGTTAAAGGTTGAGCTGGCCAACGATGTCTGCTGAAACAGTATCTTCATATTAAAATAACGAAATAGGAAATACAAAGGCCTATACTACGGCTTACACGCAACATTTCTTCAAATACCAGCAACATGGCGACTGTTTTTGTTGAACTATTTTGTTTAAACATTGTTTTAGTCAAAATACAATACAAAAGCCAGGAATAAAAACTAACCAATCTTGTAGAAAATGTATTCATAAACGGCCAAAAATAAAGGGCAGAACTAATGGAACTAACAGAATTAATCAACGGAATCTCTAAATTGAGCAATATGAACGACTATTCTCTTTCGTTTTTTTTTTTTACCTTTTTCGCTAAAACCTGTTTTTAGGCTAAATCCAATAAAAGAAAGTATTCAAAAAATGCCAGTCAACTAGAAAATTGATGCATTAATTGGATAAAACTATGTTGGCGTGGCTAAATGTTCTATACATTTATTAATATTCGAGGGAAGATCAAAAACGATTATTTATTGGTGAATTTGCTAATTCACGTAAAATGTTTCTGGGCATACCCTGGGGGAAATGGGTGTTATAGAATTGAAAAACTGTTTGTCATCCCAGTCTCCAAAGAACGCCAAACCAACTTCGTCTCTGTTTTAAATATCACAACGATATTTTGCAGCTTATTGTATTCTTACAGAGACCAAGAATAGGTTGATTGTGATTGAATAATGATTATTTCTGGTTTTTATTGTATAATTATTATTTTTGATATTTATTGTATAAATATTATTCTTGATTTTTATTGAATTATTATTATTTTTTATTTTTATTATTTAATTATTATTCTTGATTTTTATTGAATATTTCTTATTTTGGATTTTTATTGAATAATTATTATTTTTGGATCAAAACATTTAGTTTATGATTATTATTTGATTTTTCTTGTATAATTCTTATTTTTTTATATGTAGTATAATTATTATTTCTGACTTTTATTGAATAAAGATTATTTTTGATTTTTATTGTTTGTGTTTTTTAAACCTTTAAACCTATTACAACGATATTTTGCAGCTCATCGTCTTTCTACAGAGACCAAGATATAAGGATATATGTATATAAATACAAGATAATTATCATATGTTTGAATTTAGACATATATATATGAGAAAATTTCTTTATTAATTACGTTTAAAAAACAGTTTGGAAAACAAGATCTTCATATCAAAACAACGAAATAGGGTGTACAAAGGCATATACACGCATCATCATAATACCAGCAACATTGAGACTGTTTTTTTCTTGAACTATTTTGTTTAAGCCTTGTTCTAGTCAAAATACAATAGAAGCTAAAAACTAACCAATCTTGTAGAAAATTTATTCGTCAATGGCCTAAAATTATGTGGGTAGAACTAAACGTTTTAGTTAGACAGAATTATTCAACGGAATATAAAAAACGTGGAATATGTATGATGGAACTTGAATTCGTCAGTATATTTACGGTATATTTTTCAAATGAGACGGTATATTTGATCGATAAATCCATTTGCAATACTTCGAATAAACGCGGTATCAATTTAATTTAAGCGTCTCGTCTTGGAAAAATCTGAAAATATATGTAAAATGGGTACAAACATAGAGCAGCAATACAAAATATTGAATGCTGAACTGATGGACCACGTACAGAAACTACGTGTGGAGTTGGGGGAGTACAAAAAGCTGGTCGTCGGTCTGCAAACGGAGCTGTTGGAGGTGCGAGAGTCTCACGTCCTGGAAATGGACTTCAAAAAGAAGCAGCTGAAGTACGGCATCAGCACCCTGCTCAAAAATTTGGACCTGAAGGAGGACTTTCTTACCGGCGTTACCCACACCACGCCTTCTGTCCATCGACGGTCGAACATCAAGGAAATTTGTTATGATATGCGTCGTATAAGTAGCCTTACCCGATCTTCAGTGACTTGTTCACCCAGCCGTCGCCGCAGCAGTACCGTCCGTGCCGGTAGTGGTAGTAGCAGCGCTATTATAACAGAAGACGCCACAGATGTGGATACAACCACAGCCTCAGAGGATACACACAGACTGGTAATTAGACAGCCTTTGCCCGTGCGGATTCAATGTACTAATAATATATTTACTTTTAGAACATCGATAGCGCAGTTACGCCACCTCCAAGACGTATTGCGGAAATGGCCTGGGCCCTTGAAGACACTGACGAGGACTCTCCCACCATTCCAGTGGTGGAGTCCTGTGAACCCGACGAGATACTCGCGGCACTGTCTCCATGTGATCAAGCTGACAGCCTCTTCTCCATTCTAGAGGAAACGGACAGCGAGGATGCCGCGGATACCTCGTCAGTGGAGGTTGGAGATGCAGCAGAGGCCCCAATCAGCGCTGCATCCAGGCGGGACCGAGTCCTTCGCGGGCTTTGCGAAAACGTGCCCAAGGAGACTGGCAAACAAGAAAAGACCGTCTTGGCCATTCCCTGCCATGATAATGACAGCAGCTACGACGTGAGCATACAGAAGCCGCGGCAGGCCCATTCGCCCAGCTTGTCCATTGAGACGCCGAGACAGAGCCAGTTCAATGGAATTGGTAGTTGGTCTGGCAGCACTAGCACACCTTTACCCTCCCCGGTCCCTGACATACATCAGAAGACGGTTAGTGTGGCCAGGGGCAGGGGCAGGCCCAGAGGCAGAGGAAGTGCCAAACCCACTAACAACACGCTTAGTCCGAGTGACCCGCTCAGTGGCGATGCAGATATGTCCAGTGCCAGCTGCAGCACCAGTGGTCGCCCGAGTCGTAAGTGTCGTCCCACCTCCTATAAAGAGCCAAAAATAAATGCAAAAATGCGCAACGACTCCCTCCCTACCAAAAAGTCTTCGAAATAGATGTACATATATTTTTGGTTCTTATGTATATATTTTTTTGTAGTAGATTAGATCGTTTACATATTTGAATTAAAAATGGTATTTATTCGGAAACATGTACAAAACGGATTGGGATAGGATGGACATTTAAATACAATCGTATATATATATATAGTATGTAGATTGGTTTACGTAGGCCGACAATAACTGCACTTTGAGAGCAGCATCCACATCAGACCACCTCGAATTTGCCCAGACAGCAGTTAAGGTGATCCACAGGATGGCCGGAGAGGACAGTCGTTGGCTGCTCGGTGTTCTCTTTGATCTCGCTGATAATGTTTTGAATCTTATTCAGAATCTGCTGCGAGTTTTCCCCATTGCTGTCTTCGTTGGAGGGAGTCTGTGTAAGAGGCCTCTCCTGTTCGCTCGGAGTGTGCTGAAGTGCTACTGTCTGCGGCTGCCCTTGGACTTGGTCGGTGGGCAACTCCACGCCCAGGCTGGCCACCAGCTTGTTGAGCGCCTCGATCTTCTCCCGCAGCTGCTCGCGCTCGGCCTGCAGCAGACGCATCTGTGTGGCCTTTTCGTACTCACGTTGCTTTAGCATCCGTCGCTGGGTCTGGTACAGGGCTATGTACTCGCCAATCGTCTCTGTCTCGCCCTGGAGTTGAAGCACCAGATGCTCTAGGCTGTGTTTCTCCTCGGTCAGATCGGCCACTTGGCTAATCAGTGTGGTGAAACGCGCCTGCAGCCTCTCCACGGCCTCGGCGGTGGGCAGAGAACCGGGTGACAATTGGTGATGCTCCTGGTGGACATGGTCGTGTGAATGATCATGTGAATGGCCGTCTGAATGATCCCCGTGATCGTGGTCGTGCAAATGATCATGTGAATGGTGCTCGTGATGATCCTTAATTTCGCTCTCTTCTGGTTCTCCAGTTTCATCAGGCTGCTTCCCTGCCTGGCTATGGTAAGCCTTGACCTGCGAAATACATTCTTTAGATGACCAGACCATGGATAAGTGTGCCATTACCCACCTCATAGTGCTGCAGGCGATCCAGTTGCTGCTTCAACATCAGCTGCTGGCGCTGGAGCTCAACATTCTCGTGCGAGAGCCGGATCATCTCTTCATCCTTGAACTTGAAACGCTCCTCGCTGGCCAGCAGCTTCTGCTCCATGCTGTCGTAATTGTGTCGTATCTCCCGATTGGCAAACTCTTCAGCATCCAGTCGGATGACCAGCTCAGCCTTGTCGTTTGTTAACTGGACGAACTTTTGCTGCAGTTCGTCCAACTGTTGTTTCATCTCCACATTTTGGGTGAGGGCCCGCGAGGCGGCCACCTTGTCCGATTCCATGGTGGCCAGGAGTTTGGACTGATCCGGCTGCTCGGCCTGCAGGCGATCCAACTGCTGCTCCATCTCAGCGAGTGCCGCTTCCTTTACATGCAGCTGATCATCTTGGGACTTGATCTTCAACTGGAACTCGTGTCGCTCAAAGTCAAAGTCACTGAGGCGCTCTTTGAGAGCAGCAAGCTCTGTTGTCAAAGTAGTCTGGAGAGGAACGAGATAATACTCATCTTACTATTATATTGTCTTTTGTAATGCTTTGTAAATCCTTTGGTTACCTGATCGATTTGCGGCTCTGCAGGCGTCTGGGGTTGGCTGGCCTCCTTGAACTGCGCTTGTAGGCTCAGATTCTTCTGTATGTCGCGCTCCAGACCACTCACGTGCTCCACCAGCTGCCGCTCGCGTTCCCTCAGCTCGAGCAACTCCTCCGTGAGCTCAGAGTTTTTCTCGTTGAGCTTGGCTATCTCGCTGTTCTGGTGCTGGACATAGTTCTGGTACTGGCCAGAGGCCTGCTCCTTGTCTTGCGTCAACTGGCCCACCATGGCCTGCAGGTCCCTGATCTGCTGCTCGTACATGTATTGGGTCTGGGTGAGGGACTCCACGCGGTTGTCGGCATTGATGTTAGACTCGTCGGAGAGCTGGCGCAGCTTCAGCTCAGCCATCTCCAGTTCGCTCGATTTCTCGGCCAGCTGCCGCTGAAGCTCATCCTGACGGAGGTTTAGCTGTTTTAGCTGTGCCTCCATTTCGAGCAGGTGCGACTGCTGGTCCACGATTTGTGCTTGCGATTCAGTCAGCTTGTGCAAGAGCTGGGCATTGTGGTGGCGCTGCTGTTCCACACCGGCCTGCTGCCCCTGACAGTGCTGCTGTAGCTGCTCAAGGCGCAGTCTGGTCTGACCCTGCTCGGTGCGCAGCTCCTCCAGCTCCAGCTCGCGCTCCCGACAGGCGACACGTGCTCTGGTCAGCTCGGCGTTCAATTGGGCCTTCTCCGCAATGATGACCTGAATGGCCTGGAGATTGGATTCATTAGGGGCTCCATTCGGGGCGAATATGGGCGAGTCCGGTTCTGGCTGCGTAAAGAGCGCAGCTGCCGTGGGGGTGGGCAAGGCTGCCAGGGAAACAGCCTCCTCCGACTGCTGCCGGACATGCAGACTGCTGGAACCTCCTCCCCCATTTTCATTCACATTCACCTCGCTGTCGGAACGCTCGGACAAGTTGCTGGCGATGCTGACGGTGGAGGAGTGGGTGCCCGTTTGCGCCTGCTCATCTCCTCCGGCATGGTTGTTGTTGCGCTGTTGGTACTCCTTCAGCTGTAGCAATATTGTTTTAATCAAAATCAATACGAAACTTAATGTTGTCCACGTCACAAGGGCCGATAAATGTATCTCCCTACCTTCTTTCTGGCTGCGGCCAATTTCAGCGCCTTGGCATCATGTGTGTCATCTGGCATGACCTAAGAGGTTAGCTTCAGCAGCCTCGCTTTTAAGTTGATCACTTAATTCTTTAATCCACAAATTGTAAAAAAAACAAGAAAATTTTAGTTGTAAATATACCGATGATGGTGATGATGGTCACACTGGAAATTGTTTTGGACAAACCTTCCGGCGCTATGGGGTCACACTGGAAATTCATTTGGCCACATACGGGCAGACTTGGCGATAGGCAATTTTGATTGGCAGTTTTGGTTTGGGGGGAGTTTTAGTCGAATTTGGATTTTGAATGCATTACGATATCACCGCCGAATTGGACGGAAGCAAGAAAAATGAATTATATTCCGTGGCTTATCAGCGCTGTTCTGTGGCTGTGGCTCTGCCTGTGCCTGGCACTGCCCGCCCACACGGTAGCCGGCCGATATAACATAAGCTTTGCCCAGCTGGATACGTGCGACAGTTATACGATCAAGGAGGCGGGCTATGCCTACCGGGACTTCTTCATGGTTCACACGCTGGACAATAACCAGGTCAATAACAATAAGCGCCTGCACTTGAAGTTCTATGTCCTTACCAGCATGGATGCGCATATCTTGCTCTCGGTGACCAACAGACTGCGTCCCAATGACCGCGTGTACGAGATTGGTATGTCAAGGTTACACTGAATGGGATCTCTTAGCGACGTACAATCTCTCTCTTTTTACCCACTCTCTGTTACAGTGATAGGAGCCGGCGGAAATACGTTTTCCGCCATCCGCACGGCCATGGGTCTGCGACGTGTATCGACGAATCAAGATCGGAATTTATTATCTGTGTTCGAGCCGACGCCAATAGAGATTGTGCAAACCCAGGGTGAGGCTCGTCTCTGCCTATCCAAAGTGCTTATCTCAGGCGTCACTTCCTCTAATTATCGTCCCTCCCTCCACAGATGCTGAGCTGTTTGTTTATATACCCGGATTCAAAACGGAACCACTGCTACAGTTCATGGACGCCTCGGCCCTGACGATCAACTACATAAGCTTCAGCTCCTTCGGTACTAACACTGCGCGCTGGTTCTACGACTGCTCCTTCGATGGGTTCGGTAAGCTCCTGAGCAAGACAGGATCGGACTGACCACTTATTCTGATTGTTCTTGTTTTGCTTGCACATCATTAAAGACAAGGAAATATCGAAGGAGACGCCTGCGCTGTCATGGGAGCAGAAACTGCTGGCGGATCTCATATACCAGGGCGAGAATACGAGTGTTCCGGTGAACCTAACATCGATTGCGTTCCATTTCCAAGCGCGTTCGATCGCCTACGAGCAGGCCAATGCTCTGCTCCGCACCCGAATGCATCTGATGATGGTTGGAAGAGAAACGGCATCTAGACCTTAGACAAATCGATTTATCTTCTCGTCTACCCACAGCATTGGCAGGATAACCGTCTGCGTTGGGATCCAGAGCGATACGGACAACTGAAGTCGTTCGAGCATCCCCGCTTGGAGATCTGGACGCCGCAGCTCACAGTGCTGAATGGAGCCATGGACTCCCTGGGGGAGGCGCTCCAAACCTACGAGCTTCGTGTCTTTTCAGATGGCAATGTCACCCTGTACGCTAGCAACCTGGAGCTATCCAGCTGGTGCGTGGACAGCGCACGAAATTGGCCGAAGGAGCACATCGCGTGCGACGTGGAGCTAGGCGTGCTCAGACAGCCAAGTCAGAGCAACATAATCCTAAAATACGAACGGCAGCGCAGTCCGATCGCACCCAATGAGCATGTGAACACGCCATCAGACTGGACAATCATCGGCTTATCAGTGCTGCATCTGGGAAACGACTCGGCCAGTCGATATTCGGACCAGGGCATGCTCCAGACGATGGCGGGCGATGTGGCCATTGAGTTCATGCTGCAGCGGAACAGCTCCTTCTATATGACGGTCTTCTATATGCCGCTGATTGGTATGGGAAATACTTTTATTTTATAACTATAAACCATCATATGTTGTTCCATTGCAGCCTGCGAGATCTTCATTATCCTATCGTTTGTGCTTCGCTCCACCCGACGTAGTGCTCTCATACTCATTGCCCTCCTCATAATTGCCTGGGGACTTATGTACATAACGCGCCACGCCTCTCCGCACTATGTGCCCGCCTTAAGTAAGCCGCTTTTCTTGCAAGGTTCTATCAGATATCAGGATCTCAGGGACTACAAGCTGGTTCTCTCTCTTTCTCTTTCTTGTAGTGTCAGACTACAAGATCATAATGATTGTCAGCTGCTATTGCTATATCCTGCACATCTGCATCATGTGGCTGGAGCGCTATCCGCCAAGGAACAAGGCACCCGCATTGCTTGCATCCTTGATCAATTCGAACCTCCAGCGCTGTGTCCTAGGGCTGCGCTATGCGGATGTGAGCGGATCGAATCATTTCATTTTCATCTAAGCAATCTACATAGTCTTTCTGTTCTGTTCTTTCAGTCGAACGCGTACTGTGACATTCAGGAGAAACCCTGGTCCCACTTGGCCAAGATCCTCAACAATCTGAGCTTCATTGGCGTCTGCATTGCGTTCGCAGTGATGAATGTGACAAGCGGCGTTTGAAAAATCGAATGAATTTCCTTTATTTGCAGTGAGAGAGATATGTTATTAATGGGTTCTTAATAAATACGAAATATTCAGAGACAGATCCGGTTCGGTTCGTTTCAGATAGAAAGAAGGATTTCGACTACTTTTGGACTGTGGGAAATACTAAAGGAAGAACGTGCCTCGGCTGCTGCCGCTCCATGCCTCACAACTGGATTCTCGACCTGATCCGCGTCCATCCCCATCCCCTGATGGAGCAGCGTCCGCTTAGTGATAACCATAGTGGTCATCATACGGTGCAGCGTAGCTAATGGCTGGGGCGGCGTATGACTTCACTACGGCAGGCGCTGCGTAGCTAATGGCTGGGGCGGCGTATGACTTCACTACGGCAGGCGCTGCGTAGCTAATGGCTGGGGCGGCGTATGACTTCACTACGGCAGGCGCTGCGTAGCTAATGGCTGGGGCGGCGTATGACTTCACTACGGCAGGCGCTGCGTAGCTAATGGCTGGGGCGGCGTATGACTTCACTACGGCAGGTGCAGCGTAGCTAATGGCCGGAGCAGCATATGATTTAACAATGGGCGTGGCATGGGAAACAACCTGTGGATGAACAAGGAGATTAGTTTAAATTAGTTTTAACAGGCTCCGGACATAAGAGCTTCTCCGTACCGAACTGAAATGAGAGTAGCTGGTGGCCGGGGCATACGACTTGACAGCCACTGGAGCAGCCACTGCCACAGGCGCCGCATACGACTTGACCACCGCGGGAGCAGCATAGCTGTAGGACGGAGCATGTGCCGCATAGCTGTAGGACGGAGCATGTGCCGCATAGCTGTAGGACGGAGCTGGGGCATAGCTGATCGCTGGGGCAGCATGTCCGTAGCTGATGGCAGGCGCCGTGTGTCCCAGTCCATAGTCGAGTAGTCCGGGGGCGGCACTGGCCACAGCCAGCAGCGTGGTGGTAAGAATCTGGCAGAGCAACAAAGAGAGATCTATAAGCATCCCGCTGATCCGATCCTGTCGATCGTGCTGCTCGACTCACCAATAGTTTCATGTCTGCTTGGCTTAGATTCGCTTGGCTTCGAGGGAGAACTGCAACTGTAAATGGATTGCGTGCATTGCGTTACTTTTATAGTGCACACCGATCCGATCCGATGCGATCCGATCCACGCACTCTTAACGGACAGAGCTACGATCGGACAGAGCGGCAGTGCGGACACTGCGGACAGATGGCTCGAGTAGATAGCCAAACGATTTCGATCTGAGCTGAGCGTCAGACAAAACAGTCAACAAAGCGGGCCAACAGCACCAATTTGTGAAGTATCTGGCTGAAGTGGACGATGCATGAATGCAATTCTCGTGGATGCTGTTGTTGCTGGCGGTTGGGGCAAGAAGCTGCGGCTGCGGCTGGGACTGTGCCTCGATGGAGCTCCGATCTGATGACGCAACGATCTGGCAAGGCAGACCACTTGCCGGCAAAGGCTTCGCTGCGGCAGGCTGTGTGGCAGGAAAGGCAGACCTGTGTCTGGAGATGTATTTCCACTGGGGAGTTTCGAATTAGAAAGCCTCCGCTAATTGAATTCGTTGATTAACTCCCCAATTTGGACAGCCGGCCAGCCCCGCGGCACCACCCCATCTAATCAGTCCGAAGCCTAAATCAGAATGCTTTGGCCCGCACCCCACCCAACCTTGCCACTAACAACTTAATTAGCCTTTGGAGAATGTCGTCTAATTGTTCTCGCAACAATTCTCGACCCGCCTACTGGGGCTGGGGCTGTCGTCTGGTGTGGCTCGAAAATTCTCCCCAAATTGCATAATGGCCGCGCTTGCCAAATCGAACATTCAACAATCCCAGGCTTCATATTTATCTTTATCGTGCCTCGAATGCCGCAGCGTGCCACATTTGACCATATTTGATGGCCATAACAGTTGTCTGCGGCCACGCCACATCACAGACGCAGTCGCAGTCGAAGTCTGAGTCGAGGACACTTGGCTAGGAATCATTGCACTAGCCCCTTCTCCCGCTGCAATCTATGCGGCAGCATCTGACGGTACGTGGGACTTTTTATTGCATTTGGGGTGGGCGAGGGTATAAATCGATGACATGCTGCGATTACTTCAAAAAATATTAATGTATTCTTCTAAAAAGATCATTCATGAGAGCCTAACAAATTGTTGCGAGTAGATTATCGGCGAAAAACGAATGATGGCAACAAAACTCCTGTATGTATATATATTATTTTTCAAGAATTGAAAGACATATTCGAGATTTTTGGGATTACAGAAGTGCGAATGGTAGTAAAATGATGTTAAATGATTTCCCAGTATGAGAGAAGGATTTGTAGGCTTGGTAGAATCGATGAAAAAAGGAAGTTTCACCTGGAATCGCTCTCTCCAACCAGGAAAAGCTTTCGGTGAGTCTACCAAAAGGCTAAAAGCCCCCGAAATTTGCAAAAATTCCAAGACTTCCAGCAATGTTACCCGTCTCAGAAAGCAGCTTGCAACAGCTTTGGCTGAGGCCTCCTCTCAAGAGGCCACGTCATCATCAACAGCCACTAAAAAAGCATATTACTCTTAGGTTGCGATACATACTTAACTCACAAGGAAAGAGAGAGACAGAGATAGAGACACCAAAAGAGAACTAGAATGAGCGAGAGAGAGAGTGAAAGACACTTGTGAGTGGGGTTCATGCATAAATCATGCCAATGGAATGTGATTTATGTGAAATCTATTAGCAAATATTAAGTCAATAGCAACAATTGCTGCTGCTAACATCGGCAACTGCCAAACCAAACAAGTGTTCCATGTCCACTCCGAAACTCCGGTTTCGTTTTGGCCACGGTTTATAAATAAAAGATTTCCATTGAAGCCACACTGCATGCCCCACATTTGGCCGACGTGGAAAGCAATTTTCCACCAATCGCTTTACGAGTTTGTTCAGTTCGGGATCCATTCTGCTCCGTTCCAATCCATTCGAGCTTGCGCATAGAAGGCTTGCCGCCCTTCCTAATGCCAAATTACCACACAAAATGCCGCTTTAAGGAGAGCGCACAGCACAACCCCCCCCCCCCCCCCCGCCACCATCCGACCCCGCTCTGATCGGGCCAAGACAAGTCCGATGGCTCGATTTGGTGATCGGGCGGCGTGCGCTCCAAATGAGTGCAAAATTTTTAGGATTTTGGATTTTGGATGACGGGCCTAATTAACCAGTGGACAAGTCTGAGTCGGGGCAGCGTTCAGCGTTCGTTTCAGCTTGCTTTCCCAATGCCTCTCGCATTCGACAAATTCCTCTCTCGCATTGTGCGCGTGTTCCACGCGGCGTATGCTTTATTTTTCATCAATTCAATTAATTAACACCACGATCGCTTCTAGTGCCTGGCTCCGGCTCCTGTCGCATTTTACTTGCAAATGTTACATGTAATGCAACAACCAACAACATCTTGACTCGGACTCCGAAGGATCGAATACCCTAGCAGATGGCAGATGCAGCCAAACGATTCCATTACATTCAATAGAATTCCATCTTCCCACAACAACCTATCCAAAAATATACCCTTCTTCTGTATGTTTGGCACACCTCAAGTAAAAACTATGGTACTCCCCGTAAGGGTATCCCGAAATACAAAAAACAGAAACATTGCAAAATGGACAAACGCTGCTTAATTAAATCAGAAACAAATGGCAAAATCAACGACGCGAAGGAGCAGAACAGCTAAAAAATGCGTGGCATTTATGACGCTTTGCCTGAATTTAATGAATGAATCAGCGTGTACATGGATATGGAAATGAAAATGGATATGAATGTGGAGCTGACAAAGTTAGAGCCCCCGAGCTGGCTCTGGTGTTGCTACAGAGACGGGGGTATTTTGGTGCTGCCCGGCGTTTTGCATTTGGCAATCTCAGATGGAAGGCGAACCAATGACAGTTTCCAATCATGAATTGGTCTGGTCTGGGCTTTTGGTGTCGTTTCTCGCGCCGCTGTCGTTGACCGACAGACCAGGAGTCGTGCTCGTGGCTTGTTTATGGGATGACTGCATTCAGACTGTCGGGTCGGTTGGGAAACGATTATTGCCTTGATAATGGGAGAACTGAGTGCGATGCTGCTGTGGATGTGGAATTGGACGGGATTGGACGTGTGCTGGAGGAACTGAAAAGTTTCCAACTCTGGGTATGTGGGTGCTGTGCTGCATGTTCTGTGATGGGACCCGACCCTCTTGGTTATCGCTGTACAAACGCTGCTGCACATTGGATTGACTGCCAGCCGGCGATCGCTGATCAAATGCGGATACTTGAGCAGGCGGAACTGCAGGCTCTGGTTAAGATTTTGATTTGCGACCTCAGCACAGGCCATGAGGATAACAAGGGCATTGTCGCTCTAATCAGCGACCTGTGGTTTGCAAAATGCAGGTTAGGGACAGCGGTTCCACATCCACAGCGATTCCTCAACAGGAGAACAGGAAGTCCACAAAAGGCAAACAAAAGCGTGCGGGAACGTTGAGAGTCGCAGCAAGGGTGCCTCTATCGGCACTATTTGCGCGCAAGTTTTTAAATTTTCTTGATATCCAGTAAATGTTTAGAGCTTCGCTTTAAAGTAGCTAGATGTCGCGCGTTTCGAAACGACTCTTCTTCTTCCATTTGATGATGCCCTTCTTTTGCGACCTACACATGTCTCTTGCATATATGTAATGTAAGATGAGAATGTAAAATATATGCATTTTGACGTAATATTGTAAAGCATTGCATACTTTTGTATGCTTCGGGCCATGTCAAAATCGCGTAGAAATGCCATTTTGCGGCCCCGGTCCAGCCCCGATTCATAATCTCAATCCTGATCAATATCGAATTTCCGATCGATTGGCATCACAATCTAAATTTTTTCAAAAATGGAAAAAAGGCGTGTTTATATATGGATAACGGAGGTTTTTCACGCTGGCGCTTCCATGGGGCTTATATGAAAAAAAAGCGGCCAAGCTTGTCAACAGACGTAACATTTCCCCTTCGGATGTCACCTTAGATAATTACATAAATATGTAGTTCAAATGTAGCAAATGTGTAACCATCGCGTAATTAACATGTAGACAAATTAATTAATTTTATTTAAATTAATTTTTTTTTTTAATATTTAAATATTTTTTTAACAATAATGCCATCTATCTGCTCCCTTTAAAATTGCCCATCCTATAGAAAATTTATTCAGCACCAATTATTTGTCTATTACAAAAGTAAACTACAATCTTGCTATAATGCTCAGCTCCCCCCTTTCATTGTGGCTGCTTACTTGGAAAACTAGTTTTAGCTATTATTATTAGTTATTATTAGTTATCTAGAGGCCACTCGTTTTGGCAATGACTAGTTAGTAGATCGGTGAAACCTTATGGGAAAAGAAGGCAGAGTGTGTGAGAGAAATGAATGAACATTAAATTACAAAAAAAAATAGTTTTTGGGATTTTTGAATGAATTTGGCATTTACTTTAAATAAAACAAAAAATTATATAAAAAATGCATTTTGGAAAAATTCCAGTAACATTTGATGTCCTTGTGGGAGAAATGGGTGCACCAGCCCCGTGATGCGAGTGAGGCTCTCACCTCTGGATTAATTAAATTAATTCTTATATGAGCAGACTAATTTTCTAAACTCCTATTCAAAAATTTTAGCATCGAAAGTTGGAGTTTGAGATTCATTTATCGATTCCCCTTCATAGCATTTCCACAAAAGTCACCCTATAATCAATATTGCGAACCGAACTTAAATATAGATCAAAGTCACTGAAGCTAACGGTGTATAAGCAATGCACACGGACACGGAGTCGGAGGCAGAGACGGGAGTCCCATGAGCCATCTGTTTGGGCGATGTCAACGATTTAAAGGGTGCCTAAAGGGGTCCCCTCCAACCACAAGCAGTCAACAGGTGACGGATGACTGAGTGAATGGTTTCATAGGTGGGTGGGTTTTTGGGTGGTTGGCTTCGGTTATCCGCCCACTGACCTTAAAATATAATATTAAACACAAGGCTTGCCTCGCCCCCTCTCTGGAAAATCATTGATTGAGGGACTAATTGGTTTTAAGGCCTTTCCGTTAAGTGAAATTCAACCAAATCTTGGTGCACAACAAAAGAAGACTTCTTGCATAAAGTGCCTCTGTATGGGTGGGGTGTGTATCTGGTGCTGGTGTTGGTGCTGCTGCTGCTGTTGTCTGACAAGCGTCAAGTGCAGTTTGAAATTCAAGTTGCCTAATAACTTAAAACCCCAAGCAGCTTTAATGGCCATAATTCGTCTCCAAT